CCTGTTGAGAGTGTGGATACTTCACAACTAAAGGTGATCAGAGAGTGTGTAGTGTGTCCACAGCTCAGTCCAGCCCCTGTTGAGAGTGTGGATACTTCACAACTAAAGGTGATCAGAGAGTGTGTAGTGTGTAGCGTGTCCACAGCTCAGTCCAGCCCCTGTTGAGAGTGTGGATACTTCACAACTAAAGGTGATCAGAGAGTGTGTAGCGTGTCCACAGCTTAGTCCTGGCCATGTTGAGAGTGTGAATACTTCACAACTAAAGGTGATCAGAGAGTGTGTAGTGTGTCCACAGCTTAGTCCAGCCCCTGTTGAGAGTGTGGATACTTCACAACTAAAGGTGATCAGAGAGTGTGGAGTGTGTAGCGTGTCCACAGCTCAGTCCAGCCCCTGTTGAGAGTGTGGATACTTCACAACTAAAGGTGATCAGAGAGTGTGGAGTGTGTAGCGTGTCCACAGCTCAGTCCAGCCCCTGTTGAGAGTGTGGATACTTCACAACTAAAGGTGATCAGAGAGTGTGTAGTGTGTAGCGTGTCCACAGCTCAGTCCAGCCCCTGTTGAGAGTGTGGATACTTCACAACTAAAGGTAATCAGAGAGTGTGGAGTGTGTAGCGTGTCCACAGCTCAGTCCAGCCCCTGTTGAGAATGTGGATACTTCAGAACTAAAGGTGATCAGAGAGTGTGTAGTGTGTAGCGTGTCCACAGCTCTGTCCAGCCCCTTTTTGAGAGTGTGGATACTTCACAACTAAAGGTGATCAGAGAATGTGTAGTGTGTAGCGTGTCCACAGCTCAGTCCAGCCCTGTTGAGAGTGTGGATACTTCACAACTAAAGGTGATCAGAGAGTATGTAGTGTGTAGCGTGTCCACAGTTCAGTCCAGCCCCTGTTGAGAGTGTGGATACTTCACAACTCAAGGTGATCAGAGAGTGTGTAGTGTGTAGCGTGTCCACAGCTTAGTCCAGCCCCTGTTGAGAGTGTGGATACTTCACAACTAAAGGTGATCAGAGAGTGTGTAGTGTGTCCACAGCTCAGTCCAGCCCCTGTTGAGAGTGTGGATACTTCACAACTAAAGGTGATCAGAGAGTGTGTAGTGTGTAGCGTGTCCACAGCTCAGTCCAGCCCCTGTTGAGAGTGTGGATACTTCACAACTAAAGGTGATCAGAGAGTGTGTAGTGTGTAGCGTGTCCACAGCTCAGTCCAGCCCCTGTTGAGAGTGTGGATACTTCACAACTAAAGGTGATCAGAGAGGGTGGAGTGTGTAGCGTGTCCACAGCTTAGTTCTGGCCATGTTGAGAGTGTGGATACTTCACAACTAAAGGTGATCAGAGAGTGTGTAGCGTCTCCACAGCTTAGTCCTGCCCCTGTTGAGAGTGTGGATACTTCACAACTAAAGGTGAACAGAGAGTGTGTAGTGTGTAGCCTGTCCACAGCTCAGTCCAGCCCCTGTTGAGAGTGTGGATACTTCACAACTAAAGGTGATCAGAGAGTGTGTAGCGTGTCCACAGCTTAGTCCTGGCCATGTTGAGAGTGTGAATACTTCACAACTAAAGGTGATCAGAGAGTGTGTAGTGTGTCCACAGCTTAGTCCAGCCCCTGTTGAGAGTGTGGATACTTCACAACTAAAGGTGATCAGAGAATGTGTAGTGTGTAGCGTGTCCACAGCTCAGTCCAGCCCTGTTGAGAGTGTGGATACTTCACAACTAAAGGTGATCAGAGAGTATGTAGTGTGTAGCGTGTCCACAGCTCAGTCCAGCCCCTGTTGAGAGTGTGGATACTTCACAACTAAAGGTGATCAGAGAGTGTGTAGTGTGTAGCGTGTCCACAGCTTATTTCAGCCCCTGTTGAGAGTGTGGATACTTCACAACTAAAGGTGATCAGAGAGTGTGTAGTGTGTAGCGTGTCCACAGCTCAGTCCAGCCCCTGTTGAGAGTGTGGATACTTCACAACTAAAGGTGATCAGAGAGTATGTAGTGTGTAGCGTGTCCACAGCTCAGTCCAGCCCCTGTTGAGAGTGTGGATACTTCACAACTAAAGGTGATCAGAGAGTGTGTAGTGTGTCCACAGCTCAGTCCAGCCCCTGTTGAGAGTGTGGATACTTCACAACTAAAGGTGATCAGAGAGTGTGTAGTGTGTAGCGTGTCCACAGCTCAGTCCAGCCCCTGTTGAGAGTGGGGATACTTCACAACTAAAGGTGATCAGAGAGTGTGGAGTGTGTAGCGTGTCCACAGCTCAGTCCAGCCCCTGTTGAGAATGTGGATATTTCACAACTAAAGGTGATCAGAGAGTGTGGAGTGTGTAGCGTGTCCACAGCTCAGTCCAGCCCCTGTTGAGAGTGTGGATACTTCACAACTAAAGGTGATCAGAGAGTGTGGAGTGTGTAGCGTGTCCACAGCTTAGTTCTGGCCATGTTGAGAGTGTGGATACTTCACAACTAAAGGTGATCAGAGAGTGTGTAGCGTCTCCACAGCTTAGTCCTGCCCCTGTTGAGAGTGTGGATACTTCACAACTAAAGGTGAACAGAGAGTGTGGATACTTCACAACTAAAGGTGATCAGAGAGTGTGGAGTGTGTAGCATGTCCACAGCTCAGTCCAGCCCCTGTTGAGAGTGTGGATACTTCACAACTAAAGGTGAACAGAGAGTGTGGATACTTCACAACTAAAGGTGATCAGAGAGTGTGTAGCGTGTCCACAGCTTAGTCCTGGCCATGTTGTGAGTGTGGATACTTCACAACTAAAAGTGATCAGAGAGTGTGTAGCGTGTCCACAGCTTAGTCCAGCCCCTGTTGAGAGCATGGATACTTCACAACTAAAGGTGATCAGAGAGTGTTGAGTGTGTAGCATGTCCACAGCTCAGTCCAGCCCCTGTTGAGAGTGTGGATACTTCACAACTAAAGGTGATCAGAGAGTGTGTAGTGTGTAGCGTGTCCACAGCTCAGTCCAGCCCCTGTTGAGAGTGTGGATACTTCACAACTAAAGGTGATCAGAGAGTGTGTAGCCTGTCCACAGCTTAGTCCAGCCCCTGTTGAGAGTGTGGATACTTCACAACTTAAGGTTATCAGAGAGTGTGTAGTGTGTAGCGTCTCCACAGCTTAGTCCAGCCCCTGTTGAGAGTGTGGATACTTCACAACTAAAGGTGATCAGAGAGTATGTAGTGTGTAGCGTGTCCACAGTTCAGTCCAGCCCCTGTTGAGAGTGTGGATACTTCACAACTCAAGGTGATCAGAGAGTGTGTAGTGTGTAGCGTGTCCACAGCTTAGTCCAGCCCCTGTTGAGAGTGTGGATACTTCACAACTAAAGGTGATCAGAGAGTGTGTAGTGTGTCCACAGCTCAGTCCAGCCCCTGTTGAGAGTGTGGATACTTCACAACTAAAGGTGATCAGAGAGTGTGTAGTGTGTAGCGTGTCCACAGCTCAGTCCAGCCCCTGTTGAGAGTGTGGATACTTCACAACTAAAGGTGATCAGAGAGTGTGTAGTGTGTAGCGTGTCAACAGCTCAGTCCAGCCCCTGTTGAGAGTGTGGATACTTCACAACTAAAGGTGATCAGAGAGTGTGTAGCCTGTCCACAGCTTAGTCCAGCCCCTGTTGAGAGTGTGGATACTTCACAACTTAAGGTTATCAGAGAGTGTGTAGTGTGTAGCGTCTCCACAGCTTAGTCCAGCCCCTGTTGAGAGTGTGGATACTTCACAACTAAAGGTGATCAGTGAGTGTGTAGTGTGTAGCATGTCCACAGCTCAGTCCAGCCCCTGTTGAGAGTGTGGATACTTCACAACTAAAGGTGATCAGAGAGTGTGTAGCGTGTCCACAGCTTAGTCCTGGCCATGTTGAGAGTGTGAATACTTCACAACTAAAGGTGATCAGAGAGTGTGTAGTGTGTCCACAGCTTAGTCCAGCCCCTGTTGAGAGTGTGGATACTTCACAACTAAAGGTGATCAGAGAGTGTGGAGTGTGTAGCGTGTCCACAGCTCAGTCCAGCCCCTGTTGAGAGTGTGGATACTTCACAACTAAAGGTGATCAGAGAGTGTGGAGTGTGTAGCGTGTCCACAGCTCAGTCCAGCCCCTGTTGAGAGTGTGGATACTTCACAACTAAAGGTGATCAGAGAGTGTGTAGTGTGTAGCGTGTCCACAGCTCAGTCCAGCCCCTGTTGAGAGTGTGGATACTTCACAACTAAAGGTAATCAGAGAGTGTGGAGTGTGTAGCGTGTCCACAGCTCAGTCCAGCCCCTGTTGAGAATGTGGATACTTCAGAACTAAAGGTGATCAGAGAGTGTGTAGTGTGTAGCGTGTCCACAGCTCTGTCCAGCCCCTTTTTGAGAGTGTGGATACTTCACAACTAAAGGTGATCAGAGAATGTGTAGTGTGTAGCGTGTCCACAGCTCAGTCCAGCCCTGTTGAGAGTGTGGATACTTCACAACTAAAGGTGATCAGAGAGTATGTAGTGTGTAGCGTGTCCACAGTTCAGTCCAGCCCCTGTTGAGAGTGTGGATACTTCACAACTCAAGGTGATCAGAGAGTGTGTAGTGTGTAGCGTGTCCACAGCTTAGTCCAGCCCCTGTTGAGAGTGTGGATACTTCACAACTAAAGGTGATCAGAGAGTGTGTAGTGTGTCCACAGCTCAGTCCAGCCCCTGTTGAGAGTGTGGATACTTCACAACTAAAGGTGATCAGAGAGTGTGTAGTGTGTAGCGTGTCCACAGCTCAGTCCAGCCCCTGTTGAGAGTGTGGATACTTCACAACTAAAGGTGATCAGAGAGTGTGTAGTGTGTAGCGTGTCCACAGCTCAGTCCAGCCCCTGTTGAGAGTGTGGATACTTCACAACTAAAGGTGATCAGAGAGTGTGTAGCGTGTCCACAGCTCAGTCCAGCCCCTGTTGAGAGTGTGGATACTTCACAACTAAAGGTGATCAGAGAGTGTTGAGTGTGTCCGTAGTCCAGCCCCTGTTGAGAGAATTGATTACTTTCGTTCAGAGCAAGCTGATCCTGAACTGTGATGTACTATGTTTCAGCATGTGCGGCAGGCCATGTTTCTGAGCTGCATGTTCATCTCGTCCCGGGCTATATTGAGTCACCAAACTACCCTGAAAACTATCCAAAGTAAGTGACCACACCTATGATTCCTGATGACGATCCCACGTAAGTGATGTAAATTCCTTATTATGTTACTGTGATGTTACTGATGTTACTGTGACATTACTGATGTTACTGTGACATTACTGATGTGACTGTGATGTTACTGATGTTACTGATGTTACTATGACGTTATTGATGTTACTGATGTTACTGATGTTATTGTGACATTACTGATGTTACTGGGATGTTAGTGATGTGACTGTGATGTTACTGCGATGTTACTGATGTTACTGAGATGTCACTGCAATATTACTGCAATATTACTGATGTTACTGTGACGTTACTAATGCTACTGTGACATAACTGATGTGACTGCGACGTTACTGATGTGACTGCGACGTTTCTGATGTGACTGCAATATTACTGTGACGTTACTGATGTTACTGTGATGTTACTGGTGTTACTGAACTTTCTGGCAAGCTTCTTTTCCTTTCAGTGATGTCAGCTGCTCCTGGCGCCTCCGAACCAACATCTCCTCCTACATCCGCGTCAAAGTCCTGAACTCAGACATCGAGTCCAAGGAGAACTGCGGGTTTGACTACATGATCGGCTACGATGGTGGGTGACACAAGTCTCCCTATGTCACATGATAGGCTACGATGGTGGGTGACACAAGTCTCCCTATGTCACATGATAGGCTACGATGGTGTGTGACACGCCCATGTCTCCCTATGTCACATGATAGGCTACGATGGTGGGTGACACAAGTCTCCCTATGTCACATGATAGGCTACGATGGTGGGTGACACAAGTCTCCCTATGTCACATGATAGGCTACGATGGTGGGTGACACAAGTCTCCCTATGTCACATGATAGGCTACGATGGTGGGTGACACAAGTCTCCCTATGTCACATGATAGGCTACGATGGTGGGTGACACAAGTCTCCCTATGTCACATGATAGGCTACGATGGTGGGTGACACAAGTCTCCCTATGTCACATGATAGGCTACGATGGTGGGTGACACAAGTCTCCCTATGTCACATGATAGGCTACGATGGTGGGTGACACAAGTCTCCCTATGTCACATGATTGGCTACGATGGTGGGTGACACAAGTCTCCCTATGTCACATGATAGGCTACGATGGTGAGTGACACGCCCATGTCTCCCTATGTCACATGATAGGCTACGATGGTGGGTGACACAAGTCTCCCTATGTCACATGATAGGCTACGATGGTGGGTGACACAAGTCTCCCTATGTCACATGATAGGCTACGATGGTGGGTGACACAAGTCTCCCTATGTCACATGATAGGCTACGATGGTGGGTGACACAAGTCTCCCTATGTCACATGATAGGCTACGATGGTGGGTGACACAAGTCTCCCTATGTCACATGATTGGCTACGATGGTGGGTGACACAAGTCTCCCTATGTCACATGATAGGCTACGATGGTGGGTGACACAAGTCTCCCTATGTCACATGATAGGCTACGATGGTGGGTGACACAAGTCTCCCTATGTCACATGATAGGCTTTGATGGTGGGTGACACAAGTCTCCCTATGTCACATGATAGGCTACGATGGTGGGTGACACAAGTCTCCCTATGTCACATGATAGGCTACGATGGTGGGTGACACAAGTCTCCCTATGTCACATGATAGGCTACGATGGTGGGTGACACAAGTCTCCCTAGGTCATATGTTGGCCTTGTGTAGTCTGTCATGGATAGTCTCCATGTGTCACATGTTGGCCTTGTGTAGTCTGTCATGGATAGTCTTCCTGTGTCACATGTTGGCCTTGTGTAGTCTGTTATGGATAGTCTTCCAATGTCACATGTTGGCCTTGTGTAGTGTGTCATGGATAGTCTTCCTGTGTCACATGTTGGCCTTGTGTAGTCTGTTATGGATAGTCTTCCTGTGTCACATGTTGGCCTTGTGTAGTCTGTCATGGATAGTCTTCCTGTGTCACATGTTGGCCTTGTGTAGTCTGTCATGGATAGTCTTCCTGTGTCACATGTTGGCCTTGTGTAGTCTGTTATGGATAGTCTTCCTGTGTCACATGTTGGCCTTGTGTAGTCTGTTATGGATAGTCTTCCTGTGTCACATGTTGGCCTTGTGTAGTCTGTTATGGATAGTCTTCCTGTGTCACATGTTGGCCTTGTGTTGCCTATGATAGTGACAAGTCTATGTTATTTCAGGAGCCACTGATTCCTACCCAATGCTGAAAAAGTGGTGTGGTCTTGAAACTCCGATAGTCACCTCCAGCGGCAGTGTGCTGTTCCTGAAGTTCCGGTCTGATGGTTCAGGCAACAGACAGGGCTTCCGCATCGATTACGTGGGAGTCAACATCGGCTACTGTGAGTCTATTTTTCTACCTAATGTTGCCATGGCTAATGTGTATTTCTGATGTCTTACATATTGTTGTTATGGCTACTGTATGGCCCTGATTTCTACCTATTGTTACCATGTCTACTGTAAGTCTCTGGTTCATACCTACTGTTGCCATAGCTACTGTGTATTTGTGTCTTACATATTGTTGCCATGGCTTCTGCATGGCCCTGATTTCTATCTATTGTTGCCAGGGCTACTGTATGGCCCTGTTTCCCAACAAGGGGTTACCATGGCTACTAATATGTTATGTTTGACCCTTCCCCAGATGACGACTCCACTTCTTCGTCTTCACTAAAAGCAGGGACTATCGCCGGTGTTGTCTGCGGCTGCGTTGTCGTCACCTCTATCCTCATCATCGCCATGTTTGTTGTCATCCGACGCAGACAGAAATATCAGCAGAATGCCGACCTGGACCCAACTGGTCATGGAAGAAGGTCCGGGTCCACATCCCACTGGAGAAGTCGGCGGTACCCAGATCAGCCCTGGGAGGTGAACGCTGTGTTTTATTCTGTGGAGTCTGCAGGCTACATGACGGCCCCTCCCCCCTACAGCCTGGTGGCAGGGCTGCACAACGACCCCCCGCCCCCCTACCCAGCAGCAGAGTTTACCCTCCCACTGAAGGATGAGGACGAAGAGGAAGTGCCACCTTGTGACGGTCCAGGAGAAGACAACCATGCAGGCGATGGGAACATCTCTCCCTGTACACCTGGTTCAGAGAGACATCCAGGGGTCCAGAGTGAAAGCCGTGCAGAAGAAAGCCCTGTCAACCCTAACCCTAACCCTAACCCGAACCCTGTCAAGTTGGCTGAAGGAGGCAGGCCACACTACAGAAAGAGCGGTGGGTCAGGACTGGGGCGGGCCGTGAGTGTAGATAACCTGCTGCCTCTTCACAAACCCCTCAGTGTAGCTCCTCCCACTGTGCTCTCTGAGATGACATCAGGAGGCCGAGCAGTCAGTGTGGGCAATCTCGTCTTGGCAGAGGCTACAGGTCAGGGCTATAACCGTCAGATTTCCCAGTCAGAGACCGTGCTGAATAGAGGGCCTTATTCACCTGGGGCCACTGCAGGACAGAGTCCTTATCCGCGGTCAAGGCACAGAACAGAAAGACGTTCCCCAGGACACCAGCAGCAAAGCCACAGCCATAACTCTCCCCCTAACCCTCACAGTGGACTTGATGGGGCAGCCCCATCAGCAGCTGGTGCCATGACTGGGACATCTGTGCCAGAAGGTGCTGGTCACCGGTACACGCAGAGACGACATCCCGCTGACAAGGCAAGGGAAAAGCGTGGGCATCCAAGATCGGAGTTTAAGGCTCTGAAAGAACGGTCACGGTCACATGACAGCCTGGTGACTGACAGGTTGTCTCTGTCCAATGCTGCTTGGAATCCAAGATGGTCGGTGGCATCTGAGGGCAACAGGAATGATGGTTGGTCCCAGAGTCCCGGTGGCAGACTTGGGGAGGCCAGCTACAGCAATCCGTTGTTCTCTCCGACAGTTGACAAGACAGCTGCCAGAAGGTCAGCAGAACGAAGCCCGTCACTTACTGGCGACAGAATGGACAGTGCTGGTCGCCGGCCAGCCAGCAGAGAGAGGAGGATGACTGGTGATGACAGTGCTGGTCGCCGGCCAGCCAGCAGAGAGAGGAGGATGACTGGGGATGACAGTGCTGGTCGCCGGCCAGCCAGCAGAGAGAGGAGGATGACTGGGGATGACAGTGCTGGTCGCCGGCCAGCCAGCAGAGAGAGGAGGATGACTGGTGATGAGAGTGCAGAGGCTGGAGAGGTTCCGGAAGCTTGTCATGCAAGCTGGAATCTCAGTCTGGAGCCGGAGGGGCCACACAGGCTCAGCACTACGGAGACATCGGTGTAGATGGATGCATCGGTGAAGTATGGAGTAGCAGTAGCAGTGTCATAATCTACAGCTGGGCCAAGTCCATGTGAACATGTCATGTGTGTAGGTGGGCCAAGTCCATGTGAACACGTCATGTCTATAGGTGGGCCAAGTCCATGTGAACATGTCATGACTGCAGGTGGGCCAAGTCCATGTGAACATGTCATGTGTGTAGGTGGGCCAAGTCCATGTGAACATGTCATGTCTATAGGTGGGCCAAGTCCATGTGAACATGTCATGTCTATAGATGGGCCAAGTCTATGTGAACATGTCATGTGTGTAGGTGGGCCAAGTCCATGTGAACATGTCATGACTGCAGGTGGGCCAAGTCCATGTGAACATGTCATGTGTGTAGGTGGGCCAAGTCCATGTGAACATGTCATGTCTATAGGTGGGCCAAGTCCATGTGAACATGTCATGTCTATAGGTGGGCCAAGTCCATGTGAACATGTCATGTCTATAGGTGGGCCAAGTCCATGTGAACATGTCATGTGTGTAGGTGGGCCAAGTCCATGTGAACATGTCATGTCTATAGGTGGGCCAAGTCCATGTGAACATGTCATGTCTGCAGGTGGGCCAAGTCCATGTGAACATGTCATGTCTGCAGGTGGGCCAAGTCCATGTGAACATGTCATGTGTGTAGGTGGGACTGTCTCTGCTTAATATATTATGAGTGCCTGGAGTTTTTATTTTGTTTAATTGTTAGATATCTAGGATTCTTGTGGTCAGGTGTTTACCCTTTGGAAGGACGATCAACTGTGATTAAAGAGTGATTGTGTTATAGGAGTGATTGATTGTGTCATCTGTGCACTTGGAGAGGATATATTAGGATCGATGAACCAAGTTTGTGTATATAGTTATTTCAGTGTATTTCTGAATGTGTATCTCCAAAGATGACTTTTATGTTTGTGATACGATCTAGCATTTTGTTTCAGTGATCTAATCTAAGTCCACAGTCCTTGAGCTGTTTGTGAAATATTTCTCCATGTGTTCAGTTGTTTCCTTGGTTTCCAATATTTGTTGTTCTTTTGGACTTTTACATCACTTCGACAACTTATAATATGGCCTTAGTGCAGCCCAACATTACTAATACCCTGTAATATCTGATATCATCGCGATACGATAGTGTGTGATACAGAGCTTTGTAGCACAGTGTGTGAAATCGCCAGTAGGATGTAGATATAGGACAGTTTATAGGACAGTGTGTGAAATTTGTATGCTCTACAACTTTTGCATTTTTTTTTTGCAGAATATATTTATGTTCATGGAGGGATATAAATCCACTTTTGCTGGTACACTTTGCTATACTTGTCGTCTGAAGTCAGCTTTTTATTTGTCATATCAAAATGAAAAAAAGTTCCTATTATTGGAGCATGATTACCTGTGATACTATGTGTAGATTTGTGTCACTTGATCTGTTACACAATATACATCATAACCACCATGTGCTATACTGTATATACCATACCTACCCTGATTGTTGAGTGATGTAACATATATTCCATATGTAGACAGCACAGAATTGTTCCATGTGTGTATGGCTGGGACGAGTCCAAATTTACTACGTGGGTACCTGACACCCTATTACCCGACCCTACGCAGGTACCCACCCCCCTGTTACCAGACCCTACCCGGGTACCCACCCCCCTATTACCCGACCCTACCAGGGTACCCACCCCCCTATTACCCGACCCTACCCGGGTACCCACCCCCCTATTACCCAACCCTACCCGGGTACCCAACCCCCTATTACCCGACCCTACCTGGGTACCCAACCCCCTATTACCCGACCCTACCCGGGTACCCACTGCAGGTCTCAAGAGTTGCAAACAAAATGTCTGATTGGTAATTGTTTTTCCGCAGCCCTGGCCAACAACCATTTAGATACATGTATCAAACAATCAGATCATGCACCCACTGAAGTTGACTGAAGCTTTATCTTTACTCAAACATAAATAAGTCAAAAGGAATGTGTGCATCGTCAGAAAGAAATGCGAAAAACGTGAGTTTTTGTCATTAAACAATGTATCACATGACTAACCACGTGTTACCCATCCGAGACCTAGTATGTTGTGTATAAAACTGTCTGTGTCACTTGATCTGTTACACAATACACATAACCAACCACCATGTGCTATACTGTATATCTACCATAACCACCATGTGCTATACTGTATATCTACCATAACCACCATGTGCTATACTGTATATCTACCCTGATTGTACACAATACATATCATGATCATTGTAAAGCTTTTATGTGACTGTGACGCATATTGACTGTGTGTAGAGAGGCACATTCTGTGTTTTTAGTCTGGATCATATATTTTTAGATTCTGTTTCACTATTTACTTATCTATCTCTTGTGATGGAGGTGCTAAGTGTGTATTTGGAAGCTTGTCACAGGAACAGATTGGTTGTATGTGGACTGTCAGAAATCCAGTGTGTATGTTTTACTGAAATGGAAAGCGACATGCTGTGTATCCTTCACTGAATCAGTGTATGATGAAATAAATGAGAAAATGCTGCCTGCTGTCTGTGTTCTTTGAGTTTCTTAACCCCCTGGATGCCACAGGGACATATATGTCCCTCCTCTACAACCCTCACTTTGAAGTCGAATAAAATTCAAAATGCACACCCACACAAATACACTTTACAGTTTTGAATAAGGTGGGAAATGCCCTGTTCTGTGATATCATCCACTGGCATTTTAGGCCAAGTTAAAGTACTAAAAATGACCTGAAAATTAGGTACATCGTAAATGTCGCCATTTTTGACACATTACTAAATCACCACTCGCAGCGTTATTTACAGCATGTTTTGAAATCTAAATTTAGGATATTCCAAAACGTCTCCGATAACTCTACAATCTTTTCGAATGTTTTGGTCAATACGCAAACACAAACGCCGAAGTGAACTTTCCTCAATATTAGATAGTGTTTACAAAATCACATTTCAGGGACACCGGTTATGAGACGCCTGTAACATCACGTATATTTCAAACTTAGCTGCGATACATACATCCTTGAATTCCTCATACATTTTAGAATCAAATGACCAATGGTCTTTGTCACCAATACAAAGTGGCTAGATGAAATCAAGCAAAATAAGTTTGGTGTGAAAACGAACGCTGTGCTTGAAAAACTGCACTCATTTGAAATGTAAGCAAAATTCAGATTTTACACAGTGTAGCATTTTCTCCTATTTTGAGCTATCCATCGTCTATTCGTTCAAGATATTGGCTCAACATTTTCAGAATATGCATGGGAAGAGAATCTTAGGAAGAATTAGGGAATTTAGGGAAATAGATACATTGCAATGATTTGATATTTTCAACAGAAATTGGTTTTGGTTGATGCATGGTCAATTGCGTGGATCGATGATCATGATATTAATCACTGGATTGTCTGGTCCAGACTCGATTATTTACAGACTGCCGTCATATAGCTGGAATATTGCTGAGTGCGGCGTTAAACAGCCAACAACCAAATCATAGCAAACAGGACACTGCTGTGGTACAGATCAGCTTTTATTCATCAAAAGATATGCTTCTTGTGATATATAAATAAAATAGGTTCTTGTACAGGAAATTCAGCATAGATACATTGTGTAGAAATAATTCACAAATAATAGAACAAACATTTAGTCATTGCCAAACGGAAGAGAAAAGAATAAATATGAAATGTGAAGTCTAGATTGTAGGTTGTACATAATCAGTATACTTTTTGATTATCGTCGGATCATAGGTTTTCAGATGTCATACGTTTTCGGACGCTATAACAGGGTATAGCATCACACAAACATTGTAAATACTCATATGATGGCTTGTTTTGAGGAGAAAGTTGTCTTTCAAAAGTGAATGAGATGTTTTACAGTTGTTCATGTGATTAGAGAGAAAACTATGACTGTTTCTTAAGTGTCCTAAAACCTTTTGATTACATGAAATCTTTGGACTTCGTTTGTGGCTGTGCTCTCTCACTTCTACACGTTTCGGGATCAACACACGATACAGACAGTGGACCCTTCAGTCTCACGTCTACACGTTTTGGGATCAACACACGATACAGACAGTGGACCCTTCAGTCTCACGTCTACACGTTTCGGGATCAACACACGATACAGACAGTGGACCCTTCAGTCTCACGTCTACACGTTTTGGGATCAACACACGATACAGACAGTGGACCCTTCAGTCTCACGTCTACACGTTTCGGGAGTCCCACACAATCAACACACGACACAGAGCGTGGACCCTTCCTTCAGTCACACGTGTCTGAGATCGGATTTACTGAAATATTGCTTTCCCAGTCTCAACTTAACCTTATCAGCAGCTCATTAAATAAATACAACATCCTGAATCCTAGAATCTTATCTTACTGTTACTGACTGCCAGGACCCACGGAGCACGGCCTGGAACACGTGAAACAGTTCTGCAGAACACCAGGGAAAAGGAGGAGCCATACAGGGGTGTAAAATAGAAGGGGTGTTTAATATACAGGTGTGTAAAATAGAAGGTGTGTTTAACTCTTTCAACACCGTAGGCCGGTTATCCGGCCAAGAAGCATTGAGTCCCCAGACACCGCAGGCCGGTTATCCGGCCAAGCCGTAGTCACGTCAAAATAGTATATATTTTTATGGACCTACCTGTAATGTCATTCATTTATTAAATCTATCACATTTCACAATGTCTGAAATACATATTCCATATCAATTTAACATTTTTTATCGTTAAATTAAAAAATTATTCACTATTTCTCGCGATGTTATTGAAAATAAAATTCTCGGACACACATTTCGACAACGGGTCCACATCGAACACGTCAAAGAAGAAAATAAAGACGTTTTAAACAAATCTTTAAATATATTATACAAAGTAATAAATAAAATCAACAAAAATATATCTTAAAGTAATCAAACTTACATCTAAGTTATTATTTCCATCTTTTCGTGCGATCGCGTGTAATGTGAGTCAAATGACATCTCGGCTTTCGTCGCCTTGAATTCTCGGCTCGGACACGATGTTTAATGCAAAAATATATGCATGAAAAATCTTTGTCACAGCTCGTAACCTAGCACGATACATTCACGAAGTTCTATATTTTTAATATATATCGTGATTTCCTGCTAAAAACGTTCAGAATAACACGATTTAACAAAATTCTTTCGCAAACTTCTGTAATTTGTCGACCACGAGCTTGGTATCACAGCTGTAATTTGATTGGCTGCCTTAGGTCACGTGCTCAAAATTGACCAATCACGAAACTTGTAGCAGATTTCAGCAAGAAAGCGTCATTAGAAACCAATTTTAATCCAATGAAATCGCTTGTTATAACTACGAAAAAAAAACAGTCGATGTTACGTGCGTGTAGATGAAGGAATAAGCTTTCCAGCGATGTGTCATATGCCATTCTTCGACGAACGTGTTATTCATACGAAACCTCGAAAACGGGGGTATTTCTTCATTTTACTGAGCGGACAGTCGCTGTTATCGGGAAATGGGTGATGACAGAAACTGTCTATAATTCTTTTTAAAATGATTTTCCAATTACGTAAACAATGAAAATAAAACAGAAATAGGTACGTGGATATTTTGAAATCATATATTTGCCGAAAATCGTCAAGTTTTCGCTTCCTTGGTCCTTAATCTGGATGTTAACAACGTGTTAGCGTACATTATTTTATTTACAACAAATTTAATTAAGTTGTAAATGCATTATTTTAAATAATGTGAAAAACATAACTTTCATATTTATAAACCATAGGATCAGACCTTTCAAATGGTGTATAACATGTAGTACCAAATATATTTTACAAGCAGGTATTTTCTTTGATAAATGTTGGCTTCATCTATCACACAAGAGTCTCTGGGAACTCGGTGTCCCAGCAGTAAACACTTCTGGTTGACTGGTGTTGAAAGAGTTAATATACAGGGGTGTAAAATAGGTGTGTAAAATAGGTGTGTTTAATATACAGGTGTTTAAAATAGAAGGTGTGTTTAATATACAGGGGTGTAAAATAGGTGTGTTTAATTTTCCAGTGTGTAAAATAGGTGTGTTTAATATACAGGTGTGTGAAATAGGTGTGTTTAATATACCAGTGTGTAAAATAGGTGTGTTTAATATACAGGTGTGTAAAATAGGTGTGTTTAATATACAGGGGTGTAAAATACCCGGTAGGTGTGTTTAATTTTCCAGTGTGTAAAATAGGTGTGTTTAATATACCAGTGTGTAAAATAGGTGTGTTTAATATACCAGTGTGTAAAATAGGTGTGTTTAATATACAGGTGTGTGAAATAGAAGGTGTGTTTAATATACCAGTATGTAAAATAGGTGTGTTTAATATACCAGTGTGTAAAATAGGTGTGTTTAATATACATGTGTGTATAATAGAAGGTGTGTTTAATATACAGGTGTTTAAAATAGAAGGTGTGTGTAATATACAGGTGTGTAAAATAGAAGGTGTGTTTAATATACAGGTGTTTAAAATAGAAGGTGTGTGTAATATACATGTGTGTAAAATAGGTGGGTGAAATTAGGAGACCATTCCTATGGCGTACTTAAGTCATGGAATTCTTTTGTATATTTCAACATAAACATATCACTGTTGTTCGAAAGGAACACTGGCGGGACTGGTGTTTCTAACATGCAGTTTCTAGTTGGGCATTGCAGACTGCTGTCTAAAACACAGGTGTGATATATATGTCATTCATATGGTAATCAGAATACATAAAAACAAAACAAAATGAGGTGCACATTCCTAGACATCATAACAATTGGATGGAAAATAAACTTTCATTTTCCTAGTCCGTGACAGCAGTAAAATACAAAATTCCAAAACACAAAGACAGGGGCCTACTGATGGCAAAACAATTGGTTGATTCATCTAGAAACTTTCAGGAGACTAAATGGTATATCCAATATGTTACAAGCTGAATATTGTCCACAAAAATGAAAGAAATCAAAGAGTAGAAAAATGCATGCATTACATTTCCAACATTACATTGAGAATTATTGAAGAAATAAACACATTTCAAGGAGAGCACATGATACATGCAACCTGGCCCTCCCTTCAGAATACCTTCATGATGTGTTGGAAAAAAGTGTCTTGTTCACTGTCTACAGAAACTGACAATCTGAAGTCAGTCAACTGTCTACAGAAACTGGCAATCTGAAGTCGGTCAACTGTCTACAGAAACTGGCAATCTGAAGTCAGTCAACTGTCTACAGAAACTGACAATCTGAAGTCGGTCAACTGTCTACAGAAACTGACAATCTGACGTCAGTCAACTGTCTACAGAAACTGACAATCTGAAGTCGGTCAACACTCTACAGAAACTGGCAATCTGAAGTCGGTCAACTGCCTACAGAAACTGACAATCTGAAGTCGGTCAACTCTCTACAGAAACTGGCAATCTGAAGTCGGTCAACACTACAGAAACTGACAATCTGAAGTCGGTCAACTGTCTACAGAAACTGGCAATCTGAAGTCGGTCAACTGTCTACAGAAACTGGCAATCTGAAGTCAGTCAACTGTCTACAGAAACTGACAATCTGAAGTCGGTCAACTGTCTACAGAAACTGACAATCTGAAGTCGGTCAACACTCTACAGAAACTGGCAATCTGAAGTCGGTCAACACTACAGAAACTGGCAATCTGAAGTCAGTCAACTGTCTACAGAAACTGACAATCTGAAGTCGGTCAACACTCTACAGAAACTGGCAATCTGAAGTCGGTCAACACTACAGAAACTGGCAATCTGAAGTCGGTCAACACTCTACAGAAACTGGCAATCTGAAGTCGGTCAACTGCCTACAGAAACTGACAATCTGAAGTCAGTCAACTCTCTACAGAAACTGGCAATCTGAAGTCGGTCAACACTACAGAAACTGGCAATCTGAAGTCGGTCAACTGCCTACAGAAACTGACAATCTGAAGTCGGTCAACTCTCTACAGAAACTGGCAATCTGAAGTCGGTCAACTGTCTACAGAAACTGGCAATCTGAAGTCAGTCAACTGTCTACAGAAACAGGCAATCTAAAGTCGGTCAACTGTCTACAGAAACAGGCAATCTGAAGTCGGTCAACTGTCTACAGAAACAGGCAATCTGAAGTCGGTCAACTGTCTACAGGAACAGGCAATCTGAAGTCAGTCAACTGTCTACAGAAACTGACAATCTGAAGTCGGTCAACTGTCTACAGAAACTGACAATCTGACGTCAGTCAACTGTCTACAGAAACTGACAATCTGAAGTCGGTCAACACTCTACAGAAACTGGCAATCTGAAGTCGGTCAACTGCCTACAGAAACTGACAATCTGAAGTCGGTCAACTCTCTACAGAAACTGGCAATCTGAAGTCGGTCAACACTACAGAAACTGACAATTTGAAGTCGGTCAACACTCTACAGAAACTGGCAAACTGAAGTCGGTCAACTGTCTACAGAAACTGACAATTTGAAGTCGGTCAACACTCTACAGAAACTGGCAATCTGAAGTCGGTAAACTGTCTACAGGAACTGACAATCTGAAGTTGGTCAACTCTCTACAGAAACTGGCAATCTGAAGTCGGTCAACTGTCTACAGGAACTGACAATCTGAAGTTGGTCAACTCTCTACAGAAACTGGCAATCTGAAGTCGGTCAACTGTCTACAGAAACTGGCAATCTAAAGTCAGTCAACTGTCTACAGAAACAGGCAATCTGACGTCTGTCAACAGTCTACAGAAACTGCCAATCTGAGGTCGGTCAACTGTCTACAGAAACTGACAATCTGAAGTCAGTCAACAGTCTACAGAAACAGGCAATCTGACGTCTGTCAACAGTCTACAGAAACAGGCAATCTGACGTCTGTCAACTGTCTACAGAAACAGGCAATCTGACGTCTGTCAACAGTCTACAGAAACAGGCAATCTGACGTCTGTCAACTGTCTACAGAAACTGACAATATGAAGTCAGTCAACAGTCTACAGAAACTGCCAATCTGAAGTCGGTCAACTGTCTACAGAAACTGACAATATGAAGTCAGTCAACAGTCTACAGAAACAGGCAATCTGACATCTGTCAACAGTCCACAGAAACAGGCAATCTGACGTCTGTCAACTGTCTACAGAAACTGACAATATGAAGTCAGTCAACAGTCTACAGAAACTGCCAATCTGAAGTCGGTCAACTGTCTACAGAAACTGACAATATGAAGTCAGTCAACAGTCTACAGAAACAGGCAATCTGACATCTGTCAACAGTCTACAGAAACAGGCAATCTGACGTCTTTCAACAGTCTACAGAAACAGGCAATCTTACGTCTGTCAACTGTCTACAGAAACTGACAATATGAAGTCAGTCAACAGTCTACAGAAACTGACAATATGAAGTCAGTCAACAGTCTACAGAAACAGGCAATCTGACGTCTGTCAACAGTCTACAGAAACAGGCAATCTGACGTCTATCAACAGTCTTCAGAAACAGGCAATCTGACGTCTGTCAACTGTCTACAGAAACTGACAATATGGAGTCAGTCAACAGTCTACAGAAACAGGCAATCTGACGTCTGTCAACAGTCTACAGAAACAGGCAATATGAAGTCAGTTAACTGTCTACAGACACTGACAATCTGAAGTCAACAAGAGTTACCGGGTGTGTTTGAAATGAAGGTAGCCTACATTGGCTGAAAGGCATTTTTGGTAAAATAGCACCAGCAGCATGGTGTCAAGATGCTGCCAATCAGTCATAGATCAACTGTTCTAGAAAAATAATCTTCTCGAATACATCACAATCGATAAACACAGGTAATATACACCAGAAACTTGCTTCATCCTAAGAATCATGATAGAAGAGAAATTGAATTTGTCATCCATATTGGGAATGATCAGCATGAACGTGTGCAGCCTGACTGCAGGAAGACGCAACAAAGGTCAAGGTCATGTCTATCTTGAACAGGAACCTGTTCCATCAACGTCTTCCACTGACACATCTCACTCCTTCCCTGAATGTTAAATACCTGATAAGAGGTTATGAGGAAATAAACAACATTAAAACAATAACATTCTGTACAAGTCATTATCAACAATATATACCAGCTATATATATCAATACATACCAACTCCGTATGTCCTGATATGCAGACCCTGTGATATGCACCAATACATACCATCTTAATATGTACTAATATGCGGGCCCTGCAATATACATCAATATATACCAGCTATATTCATCAATGTGATATATTACATCAACTCTGTATCTACTGATATGCACGCCCCACATCCAAGGTAGTGATAGTTTACTGGTGACAGTCTACTGATGCTACATCCAAGGTAGTGATAGTATACTGGTGACAGTCTACTGATGCTACATCCAAGGTAGTGATAGTTTACTGGTGACAGTCTCCTGATGCTACATTCAAGGTATTGATAGTTTACTGGTGACAGTCTACTGATGCTACATTCACGGTATTGATAGTTTACTGGTGACAGTCTACTGATGCTACATCCAAGGTAGTGATAGTTTACTGGTGACAGTCTCCTGATGCTACATTCAAGGTATTGATAGTTTACTGGTGACAGTCTACTGATGCTACATTCACGGTATTGATAGGTTACTGGTGAGTCTACTGATGCTACATCCAAGGTAGTGATAGTTTACTGGTGACAGTCTCCTGATGCTACATTCAAGGTATTGATAGTTTACTGGTGACAGTCTACTGATGCTAAATCCAAGGTATTGATAGTTTACTGGTGACAGTCTACTGATGCTACATCTAAGGTATTGATAGTTTACTGGTAACACTCTACTGATGCTACATTCAAGGTATTGTTAGTTTACTGGTGACCATCTACTGATGCTACATTCAAGGTATTGATTGTTTACTAGTAACAGTCTACTGATGCTAAATCCAAGGTATTGATAGTTTACTGGTAACACTCTACTGATGCTACATTCAAGGTATTGATAGTTTACTGGTGACCATCTACTGATGCTACATTCAAGGTAGTGATTGTTTACTGATGACAGTCTATTGATGCCACATCCAAGGTTTTGATAGTTTACTGGTGACAGTCTACTGATGCTACATTCAAGGTATTGATAGATTACTGGTAACACTCTACTGACGCTAAATCCAAGGTATTGATAGTTTACTGGTGAGTCTACTGAAGCCACATCCAAGGTTTTGATAGTTTACTGGTGACAGTCTACTGATGCTAAATCCAAGGTATTGATAGTTTACTGGTAACACTCTACTGATGCTACATTCAAGGTAGTGATAGTTTACTGGTGACCATCTACTGATGCTACATTCAAGGTAGTGATTGTTTACTGATGACAGTCTATTGATGCCACATCCAAGGTTTTGATAGTTTACTGGTGACAGTCTACTGATGCTACATTCAAGGTATTGATAGATTACTGGTAACACTCTACTGACGCTAAATCCAAGGTATTGATAGTTTACTGGTGAGTCTACTGAAGCCACATCCAAGGTTTTGATAGTTTACTGGTGACAGTCTACTGATGCTAAATCCAAGGTATTGATAGTTTACTGTTAACACTCTACTGATGCTACATTCAAGGTAGTGATAGTTTACTGGTGACCATCTACTGATGCTACATTCAAGGTAGTGATTGTTTACTGATGACAGTCTATTGATGCCACATCCAAGGTAGTGATAGTTTACTGGTAACAGTCTACTGATGCTACATTCAAGGTATTGATAGATTACTGGTAACACTCTACTGACGCTAAATCCAAGGTATTGATAGTTTACTGGTGAGTCTACTGAAGCCACATCCAAGGTTTTGATAGTTTACTGGTGACAGTCTACTGATGCTACATTCAAGGTATTGATTGTTTACTGGTAACAGTCTACTGATGCTACATTCAAGGTATTGATAGGTTACTGGTGACAGTCTACTGATGCTACATCTAAGGTATTGATAGTTTACTGGTGACAGTCTCCTGATGCTACATTGAAGGTATTGATAGTTTACTAGTGACCGTCTACTGATGCTACATTGAAGGTATTGATAGTTTACTAGTGACCGTCTACTGATGCTACATTCACGGTATTGATAGTTTACTGGTAACAGTCTACTGATTCTACATCCAAGGTAGTGATAGTTTACTGGTAACAGTCTACTGATGCTACATTCAAGGTATTGATAGATTACTGGTAACACTCTACTGACGCTAAATCCAAGGTATTGATAGTTAACTGGTGAGTCTACTGATGCCACATCCAAGGTTTTGATAGTTTACTGGTGACAGTCTACTGATGCCACATCCAAGGTTTTGATAGTTTACTGGTGACAGTCTACTGATGCTACATTCAAGATAGTGATTGTTTACTGGTGACCATCTACTGATGCTACATTCAAGGTAGTGATAGTTTACTGGTGACAGTCTACTGATGCTACATTCACGGTATTGATAGGTTACTGGTGACAGTCTACTGACGCTACATCTAAGTAATGCCTATCAACCAAGCTACATTCAAGGTATTGATAGTTTACTGGTAACAGTCTACTGACGCTACATCTAAGTAATGCCTATCAAACAAGCTACATTCAAGGTATTGATAGTTTACTGGTAACAGTCTACTGACGCTACATTCAAGGTATTGATAGTTTACTGGTGAATGTCTACTGATGCTAAATCCATGGTATTGATAGTTTACTGGTGACCATCTACTGATGCTACATTGAAGGTATTGATAGTTTACTAGTGACCGTCTACTGATGCTACATTCAAGGTATTGATTGTTTACTGGTAACACTCTACTGATGCTAAATCCATGGTATTGATAGTTTACTGGTGACAGTCTACTGATGCTACATTCAAGGTATTGATTGTTTACTGGTAACACTCTTCTGATGCTAAATCCATGGTATTGATTGTTTACTGGTAACACTCTTCTGATGCTAAATCCATGGTATTGATAGTTTACTGGTGACAGTCTACTGATGCTACTTTCACGGTATTGATAGGTTACTTGTGACAGTCTACTGATGCTACATTCAAGGTAGTGATAGTTTACTGGTGACAGTCTACTGATGCTACATTCAAGGTAGTGATAGTTTACTAGTGACCGTCTACTGATGCTACATTCAAGGTAGTGATAGTTTACTGGTGACAGTCTACTGATGCCACATCCAAGGTATTGATAGTGTAGTGGATGTCTGTCTGTTGACACTGAGTCCGAGGTATGCAGCGCATATCAGCTGTGTCTGGTACTTCGTGAAGCCAGCAATCTCTCAACACCTGCTGGAGTCCACCTGTCCATTTACGTTGGCCAGTCCATTTTTTTTAGATCCTAACGTCAGAGGCACTTGGGACTCGTACGTCTCCGGCAAACTCCCAGGGACTGTTTCTCTCTGGGCGCGGTGTTCCTTGAGAGCAGGGCCCCATTCAGGTGTCGGCTTCGCAAGAGCCCTGATAGACTGATGAGAAAAGAGATGCGTAGCAATTACAGGTGTCACTAGCAGGGTGTACTGAGTTACACGTGACACTAGCAGGGTGTACTGAGTTACAGGTGTCACTAGCAGGGTGTACTGAGTTACAGGTGTCACTAGCAGGGTGTACTGAGTTACAGGTGACACTAGCAGGGTGTACTGAGTTACAGGTGTCACTAGCAGGGTGTGCTGAGTTACAAGTGTCACTAGCAGGGTATACTGAGTTACAGGTGTCACTAGCAGGGTGTACTGAGTTACAGGTGACACTAGCAGGGTGTACTGAGTTACAGGTGACACTAGAAGGGTGTGCTTAGGTACAGGTGTCACTAGCAGGGTGTGCTGAGTTACAGGTGACACTAGCAGGGTTTACTGAGTTACAGGTGACACTAGCAGGGTGTACTGAGTTACAGGTGTCACTAGCAGGGTGTGCTGAGTTACAGGTGTCACTAGCAGGGTATACTGAGTTACAGGTGTCACTAGCAGGGTGTACTGAGTTACAGGTGACACTAGCAGGGTGTACTGAGTTACAGGTGACACTAGCAGGGTGTGCTTAGGTACAGGTGTCACTAGCAGGGTGTACGGAGTTACAGGTGTCACTAGCAGGGTATACTGAGTTACAGGTGTCACTAGCAGGGTGTGCTGAGTTACAAGTGTCACTAGCAGGGTATACTGAGTTACAGGTGTCACTAGCAGGGTGTACTGAGTTACAGGTGACACTAGCAGGGTGTACTGAGTTACAGGTGACACTAGCAGGGTGTGCTTAGGTACAGGTGTCACTAGCAGGGAGTGCTGAGTTACAGGTGACACTAGCAGGGTTTACTGAGTTACAGGTGACACTAGCAGGGTGTACTGAGTTACAGGTGTCACTAGCAGGGTGTGCTGAGTTACAGGTGTCACTAGCAGGGTATACTGAGTTACAGGTGTCACTAGCAGGGTGTACTGAGTTACAGGTGACACTAGCAGGGTGTACTGAGTTACAGGTGACACTAGCAGGGTGTGCTTAGGTACAGGTGTCACTAGCAGGGTGTACTGAGTTACAGGTGTCACTAGCATGGTATACTGAGTTACAGGTGTCACTAGCAGGGTGTACTGAGTTACAGGTGACACTAGCAGGGTGTACTGAGTTACAGGTGACACTAGCAGGGTGTGCTTAGGTACAGGTGTCACTAGCAGGGTGTGCTGAGTTACAGGTGACACTAGCAGGGTTTACTGAGTTACAGGTGACACTAGCAGGGTGTACTGAGTTACAGGTGTCACTAACAGAGTGTACTGAGTTACAGGTGTCATTAGCAGGGTGTACTGAGTTATAGGTGTCACTAGCAGGGTATACTGAGTTACAGGTGTCACTAGCAGGGTGTACTGAGTTACAGGTGACACTAGCAGGGTGTACTGAGTTACAGGTGACACTAGCAGGGTGTGCTTAGGTACAGGTGTCACTAGCAGGGTGTGCTGAGTTACAGGTGACACTAGCAGGGTTTACTGAGTTACAGGTGACACTAGCAGGGTGTACTGAGTTACAGGTGTCACAAGCAGGGTGTGCTGAGTTACAGGTGTCACTAGCAGGGTATACTGAGTTACAGGTGTCACTAGCAGGGTGTACTGAGTTACAGGTGACACTAGCAGGGTGTACTGAGTTACAGGTGACACTAGCAGGGTGTGCTTAGGTACAGGTGTCACTAGCAGGGTGTACTGAGTTACAGGTGTCACTAGCAGGGTATACTGAGTTACAGGTGTCACTAGCAGGGTGTACTGAGTTACAGGTGACACTAGCAGGGTGTACTGAGTTACAGGTGACACTAGCAGGGTGTGCTTAGGTACAGGTGTCACTAGCAGGGTGTGCTGAGTTACAGGTGACACTAGCAGGGTTTACTGAGTTACAGGTGACACTAGCAGGGTGTACTGAGTTACAGGTGTCACTAACAGAGTGTACTGTGTTACAGGTGTCATTAGCAGGGTGTACTGAGTTATAGGTGTCACTAGCAGGGTGTACTGAGTTACAGGTGTCACTAGCAGGGTATACTGAGTTACAGGTGTCACTAGCAGGGTGTACTGAGTTACAGGTGACACTAGCAGGGTGTACTGAGTTACAGGTGACACTAGCAGGGTGTGCTTAGGTACAGGTGTCACTAGCAGGGTGTGCTGAGTTACAGGTGACACTAGCAGGGTGTGCTTAGGTACAGGTGTCACTAGCAGGGTGTGCTGAGTTACAGGTGACACTAACAGAGTGTACTGAGTTACATGTGTCATTAGCAGGGTGTACTGAGTTACAGGTGTCAGTAACAGAGTGTACTGAGTTACAGGTGTCACTAGCAGGGTGTGCTGAGTTACATGTGTCATTAGCAGGGTGTACTGAGTTACAGGTGTCACTAGCAGGGTGTAATGAGTTACAGGTGTCACTAACAGGGTGTACTGAGTTACAGGTGTCATTAGCAGGGTGTACTGAGTTACAGGTGTCACTAGCAGGGTGTACTGAGTTACACGTGACACTAGCAGGGTGTACTGAGTTACATGTGTCACTAGCAGGGTGTACTGAGTTACAGGTGTCACTAGCAGGGTGTACTTAGGTACAGGTGTCACTAGCAGGGTGTACTGAGTTACAGGTGTCACTAGCAGGGTGTACTGAGTTACAGGTGTCACTAGCAGAGTGTACTTAGGTACAGGTGTCACTAGCAGGGTGTACTGAGTTACAGGTGTCACTAGCAGGGTGTACTTAGGTACAGGTGACACTAGCAGGGTGTACTGAGGTACAGGTGACACTAGCAGGGTGTACTGAGTAACAGGTGACACTAGCAAGGTGTATTGAGTTACAGGTGACACTAGCAGGGTGTACTGAGTTACACGTGACACTAGCAGGGTGTACTGAGTTACAGGTGTCACTAGCAGGGTGTACTGAGTAACAGGTGACACTAGCAGGGTGTATTGAGTTACAGGTGACACTAGCAGGGTGTACTGAGTTACACGTGACACTAGCAGGGTGTACTGAGTTACAGGTGTCACTAGCAGGGTGTTCTGAGTAACAGGTGACACTAGCAGGGTGTACTGAGTTACAGGTGACACTAGCAGGGTGTACTGAGTTACAGGTGACACTAGCAGGGTGTACTGAGTTACACATGACACTAGCAGGGTGTACTGAGTTACAGGTGACACTAGCAGGGTGTTTTGAGTTACACGTGACACTAGCAGGGTGTACTGAGTTACACGTGACACTAGCAGGGTGTACTGAGTAACAGGTGTCACTAGCAAGGTGTATTGAGTAACAGGTGACACTAGCAGGGTGTACTGAGTTACATGTGTCACTAGAAGGTTGTACTGAGTTACAGGTGTCACTAGCAGGGTGTCCTGAGTTACAGGTGACACTAGTAGGGTGTACTGAGTTACAGGTGACACTAGCAGGGTGTACTGAGTTACACGTGACACTAGCAGGGTGTACTGAGTTACACGTGACACTAGCAGGGTGTACTGAGTAACAGGTGTCACTAGCAGGGTGTATTGAGTAACAGGTGACACTAGCAAGGTGTACTGAGTTACAGGTGTCACTAGCAGGGTGTACTGAGTTACAGGTGACACTAGCAGGGTGTACTGTGTTACAGGTGACACTAGCAGGGTGTGCTTAGGTACAGGTGTCACTAGCAGGGTGTGCTGAGTTTCAGGTGACACTAGCAGGGTTTACTGAGTTACAGGTGACACTAGCAGGGTGTACTGACTTACAGGTGTCACTAGCAGGGTGTGCTAAGTTACAGGTGTCACTAGCAGGGTATACTGAGTTACAGGTGTCACTAGCAGGGTGTACTGAGTTACAGGTGACACTAGCAGGGTGTGCTTAGGTACAGGTGTCACTAGCAGGGTGTACTGAGTTACAGGTGTCACTAGCAGGGTGTATTGAGTTACAGGTGACACTAGCAGGGTGTACTGAGTTACACGTGACACTAGCAGGGTGTACTGAGTTACAGGTGTCACTAGCAGGGTGTTCTGAGTAACAGGTGACACTAGCAGGGTGTACTGAGTTACAGGTGACACTAGCAGGGTGTACTGAGTTACAGGTGACACTAGCAGGGTGTACTGAGTTACACATGACACTAGCAGGGTGTACTGAGTTACAGGTGACACTAGCAGGGTGTTTTGAGTTACACGTGACACTAGCAGGGTGTACTGAGTTACACGTGACACTAGCAGGGTGTACTGAGTAACAGGTGTCACTAGCAAGGTGTATTGAGTAACAGGTGACGCTAGCAGGGTGTACTGAGTTACATGTGTCACTAGAAGGTTGTACTGAGTTACAGGTGTCACTAGCAGGGTGTCCTGAGTTACAGGTGACACTAGTAGGGTGTACTGAGTTACAGGTGACACTAGCAGGGTGTACTGAGTTACACGTGACACTAGCAGGGTGTACTGAGTTACACGTGACACTAGCAGGGTGTACTGAGTAACAGGTGTCACTAGCAGGGTGTATTGAGTAACAGGTGACACTAGCAAGGTGTACTGAGTTACAGGTGTCACTAGCAGGGTGTACTGAGTTACAGGTGACACTAGCAGGGTGTACTGAGTTACACATGACACTAGCAGGGTGTCCTGAGTTACAGGTGTCACTAGCAGGGTGTACTGAGTTACAGGTGTCACTAGCAGGGTGTACTGAGTTACATGTGTCACTAGAAGGTTGTACTGAGTTACAGGTGTCACTAGCAGGGTGTCCTGAGTTACAGGTGACACTAGTAGGGTGTACTGAGTTACAGGTGACACTAGCAGGTTGTACTGAGTTACAGGTGTCACTAGCAGGGTGTGCTGAGTTACAGGTGACACTAGCAGGGTGTGCTGAGTTACAGGTGTCACTAGCAGGGTGTACTGAGTTACAGGTGTCACTAGCAGGGTGTACTGAGTTACAGGTGTCACTAGCAGGGTGTACTGAGTTACAGGTGTCACTAGCAGGGTGTACTGAGTTACACATGACACTAGCAGGGTGTACTGAGTTACACATGACACTAGCAGGGTGTACTGAGTTACAGGTGTCACTAGCAGGGTGTACTGAGTTACACATGACACTAGCAGGGTGTACTGAGTTACAGGTGACACTAGCAGGGTGTACTGAGTTACAGGTGTCACTAGCAGGGTGTACTGAGTTACAGGTGTCACTAGCAGGGTGTATTGGTGGAGCTGTTGTTGTTGTGATGAGACTTACCTGTATGATGGAGCTGTCGTTGTGGCGTTGATGCTGGATGACCTTGTAGATGGCGACAGTCGGGATGGCCAGGACGGAGGACAAGGTGATCAGCCAGCCGACAACGTCAGCCCACACGGGGAAGACCTCGTCAGAGTACTTGGTCCGTTTAAAGTCCACCCACGTGAACACCAGTATCACCAGGAGGGCAATGGGGGCTATGAACTTCCAGCTGTAGCTCCAGATATTAGGAGGGCGGCGGCCAAGCATGGACTCAATGTCGCCCAAGAAGCGGTCAGCTCCTGCAGCAACAAACACGAACACACTTCACTGTCATCCATATGACATAGTCACAGTAAGAACAATCACACAATCACAGTCAGATAGGGATCTGTGTTATTTACAGTGGTCATATTCCAACAAGACCTGAAACATTTCACAGGGCTGCAATAATGCCATGCAATAACTGAGTACCATTTACCAACAAGGAGCTGTGGCCTGCATGGAGAATACCAACTAAGCTCCCGTGTAACACCAAGTGAGCTCCCGTGCAATACCAACTGAGCTCCCGTGCAATACCAACTGAGCTCCCGTGCAATACCAACTGAGCTCCTGTGTAATACCAACTGAGCTCCCATGTAATACCAACTGAGCTCCCGTGTAATACCAACTGAGCTCCCATGTAATACCAACTGAGCTCCCATGTATTACCAACTGAGCTCCCATGTAATAGTAACTGAGCTCCCGTGTAATACCAACTGAGCTCCCATGTAATAGTAACTGAGCTCCCGTCTAATACCAACTGAGCTCCCGTGAAATACCAACTGAGCTCCTGTCTAATACCACCTGAGCTCCCATGTAATAGCAACTGAGCTCCCATGTAATAGTAACTGAGCTCCCATGTAATACCAACTGAGCTCCCATGTAATACCAACTGAGCTCCCGTGTAATACCAACTGAGCTCCCATGTGTACCAACTGAGCTCCCATGTATTACCAACTGAGCTCCCATGTAATAGTAACTGAGCTCCCATATAATAGTAACTGAGCTCCCATGTAATAGTAACTGAGGTCCCATGTAATAGTAACTGAGCTCCAGTGTAATACCAACTGCTCGTCTTTCTAATACCAACTGAGCTCCCGTGTAATACCAACTGAGCTCCCGTGAAATACCAACTGAGCTCCTGTCTAATACCACCTGAGCTCCCATGTAATAGCAACTGAGCTCCCATATAATAGTAACTGAGCTCCCATGTAATACCAACTGAGCTCCCATGTAATAGTAACTGAGCTCCAGTGTAATACCAACTGCTCGTCTTTCTAATACCAACTGAGCTCCCGTGTAATACCAACTGAGCTCCCGTGAAATACCAACTGAGCTCCTGTCTAATACCAACTGAGCTCCCATGTAATAGCAACTGAGCTCCCATGTAATAGTAACTGAGCTCCCATGTAATACCAACTGAGCTCCCATGTAATACCAACTGAGCTCCCATGTAATAGTAACTGAGCTCCCATGTATAATAGTAACTGAGCTCCCATGTAATACCAACTGAGCTCCTGTGTAATACCAACTGAGCTCCCATGTAATACCAACTGAGCTCCCATGTATAATAGTAACTGAGCTCCCATGTAATACCAACTGAGCTCCCATGTAATACCAACTGAGCTCCCATGTAATACCAACTGAGCTCCCATGTATAATAGTAACTGAGCTCCCATGTAATACCAACTGAGCTCCCATGTATAATAGTAACTGAGCTCCCGTGTAATACCAACTGAGCTTCCATGTAATAGTAACTGAGCTCCCATGTAATACCAACTGAGCTCCCATGTAATACCATTGAGATCCCATGTAATAGTAACTGAGCTCCCATGTAATACCAACTGAGCTCCCGTGTAATAGTAACTGAGCTCCCGTGTAATACCAACTGAGCTCCCGTGTAATACCAACTGAGCTCCCATGTAATAGTAACTGAGCTCCCATGTAATACCAACTGAGCTCCCATGTAATACCAACTGAGCTCCCATGTAATACCAACTGAGCTCCCATGTAATAGTAACTGAGCTCCCATGTAATACCAACTGAGCTCCCATGTAATACCATTGAGATCCCATGTAATAGTAACTGAGCTCCCGTGTAATACCAACTGAGCTCCCATGTAATAGTAACTGAGCTCCCATGTAATACCAACTGAGCTCCCATGTAATAGTAACTGAGCTCCAGTGTAATACCAACTGAGCTCCCATGTAATACCATTGAGATCCCATGTAATAGTAACTGAGCTCCCATGTAATACCAACTGAGCTCCCGTGTAATAGTAACTGAGCTCCCATGTAATACCAACTGAGCTCCCATGTAATACCAACTGAGCTCCCATGTAATAGTAACTGAGCTCCCATGTAATACCAACTGAGCTCCCATGTAATAGTAACTGAGCTCCCGTGTAATAGTAACTGAGCTCCCATGTAATACCAACTGAGCTCCCATGTAATACCAACTGAGCTCCCATGTAATAGTAACTGAGCTCCCGTGTAATAGTAACTGAGCTCCCATGTAATACCAACTGAGCTCCCATGTAATACCAACTGAACTCCCATGTAATAGTAACTGAGCTCCCATGTAATACCAACTGAGCTCCCATGTAATACCAACTGAGCTCCCATGTAATACCAACTGAGCTCCCATGTAATACCAATTTTGATTGAATGAGTGAATAGGTATCTGAAGTGAAAGCTTCTTCAAATGGTATTACACAGGAAGAAATTAGTGCTTTATTTAATACTTGTTGTTTATGACAAGTCAATTGACACTGACAGAATACTTTAACTTCAAACATTAGAAGTTGACAAGTATCAATTTAATACCATCCAATGGTTTACCTTTAGAATTCAGCTGCCCAAATTTTGTTACAATACCCTATGATGCAATTTGTGAAACTGTGTAAGTAAAAAGAGTAACTTGAATCTGATGACGTACCGTATACCCAGGCCAGCGCAATGCATTCCACAAACCCTATACACAGCAGTGAGTAGGTAGCTGCGTAGTTGTCGAACAGCTGCAGAACATACATGCCTCCCTGAAACACAAGTGTAGACTTCATAGAGCTGTATCATGTCTCCCTGACAAGGCCTCACCCACCTGTGTACAGAAGGCCTCACCCACCTGTGTACAGAAGGCCACACCCACCTGTGTACAGAAGGCCAAACCCACCTGTGTACAGAAGGCCACACCTACCTGTGTACAGAAGGCCACACCCACCTGTGTACAGAAGGCCACACCCACCTGTGTACAGAAGGCCACACCTACCTGTGTACAGAAGGCCTCACCCACCTGTGTACAGAAGGCCACAACCACCTGTGTACAGAAGGCCACACCTACCTGTGTACAGAAGGCCACACCCACCTGTGTACAGAAGGCCACACCCACCTGTGTACAGAAGGCCACACCCACCTGTGTACAGAAGGCCACACCTACCTGTATACAGAAGGCCACACCCACCTGTGTACAGAAGGCCACACCCACCTGTGTACAGAAGGCCACACCTACCTGTGTACAGAAGGCCACACCCACCTGTGTACAGAAGGTCACACCTACCTGTGTACAGAAGGCCAGTCCCACCTGTGTACAGAAGGCCAGTCCTATAAGGAAGGTCACACCCACCTGTGTACAGAAGGCCAGTCCTATAATGAAGCACAGGAAGGCAATGCCAAACAGGAGATACACAGACGTCCGTGCGCTGCGGAACAGATGGGGGAACTGATCCTTTAAAGTTGTGTGCACAGTTGTTACCGTAGCGATCTGAAACATGTAAATATGACAGTTATGTCATGGCACAGAGGGATATAACATTCTCAGACTCTTGCACACACACACACACACACACACACACACACACACACACACACACACACACACACACACACACACACACACACACACACACACACACACACACACACAGCACAAGGGGACTGGGACAATCAGGATAGAGACACACAAAGACCGTGTACCTGAGTTCCCAGACCCAGTGTCACCAGCATGGCAAAGAAGAGCACGGCCCACAGCTGCGATATAGGAAGTTTGGTGACAACCTCAGGGTACACAACGAAGGCCAGACCTGCACCTGAAACACATAATGTATCCTGCATTGTCATTACGGAAAGTCTATAGGCTGCTGTAGTCTATGTACTAATGATAGTCTGTGTACCTTGTGATAGTCTATAGGCTGCTGTAGTTTATGTACTAGTGATAGTCTGTGCACCTTGTGATAGTCTGTGTACCTTGTGATAGTCTGTGTACCTTGTGATAGTCTGTGTACCTTGTGATAGTCTGTGTACCTTGTGATAGTCTGTGTACCGTGTGATAGTCTGTGTACCTTGTAATAGTCTGTGTACCTTGTGATAGTCAGTGTACCTTGTGATAGTCTGTGTACCTAGTGACAGTCTGTGTACCTTGTGATAGTCTGTGTACCTTGTGATAGTCTGTGTACCTTGTGATAGTCTGTGTACCTTGTGATAGTCTGTGTACCTTGTGATAGTCAGTGTACCTTGTGATAGTCTGTGTACCTAGTGATAGTCTGTGCACCTTGTGATAGTCTGTGTACCTTGTGATAGTCTGTGTACCTTGTGATAGTCTGTGTACCGCGTGATAGTCTGTGTACCTTGTGATAGTCTGTGTACCGTGTGATAGTCTGTGTACCTTGTAATAGTCTGTGTACCTTGTGATAGTCAGTGTACCTTGTGATAGTCTGTGTACCTTGTGATAGTCTGTGTACCTTGTGATAGTCTGTGTACCTTGTGATAGTCTGTGTACCTTGTGATAGTCTGCGTACCTTGTGATAGTCTGTGTACCTTGTGATAGTCTGTGTACCTAGTGATAGTCTGTGCACATTGTGATAGTCTGTGTACCTTGTGATAGTCTGTGTACCTTGTGATAGTCTGTGTACCTTGTAATAGTCTGTGTACCTTGTGATAGTCAGTGTACCTTGTGATAGTCTGTGTACCTTGTGATAGTCTGTGTACCTTGTGATAGTCTGTGTACCTTGTGATAGTCTGTGTACCTTGTGATAGTGATAGTCAGTGTACCTTGTGAAAGTCTGTGTACCTTGTGATAGTCTGTGTATCTTGTGATAGTGATAGTCTGTGTACCTAGTGATAGTCTGTGTACCTAGTGATAGTCTGTGTACCTTGTGATAGTCTGTGTACCTTGTGATAGTCTGTGTACCTTGTGATAGTGATAGTCTGTGTACCTTGTGATAGTCTGTGTACCTTGTGATAGTCTGTGTACCTAGTGATAGTCTCTGCACCTTGTGATAGTCTGTGTACCTTGTTAAAGTCTGTGTATCTTGTGATAGTCTGTGTACCTTGTGATAGTCAGTGTACCTTGTGATAGTCTGTGTACCTTGTGATAGTCTGTGTACCTTGTTATAGTCTGTGTACCTTGTTATAGTTTGTGTATCTTGTGATAGTCTGTGTACCTTGTGATAGTGATAGTCTGTGTACCTAGTGATAGTCTGTGTACCTTGTGATAGTCTGTGTATCTTGTGATAGTCTGTGTACCTTGTGATAGTGATAGTCTGTGTACCTAGTGATAGTCTGTGCACCTTGTGATAGTCTGTGTACCTTGTGATAGTCTGTGTACCTTGTGATAGTCTGTGTACCTTGTTATAGTCTGTGTATCTTGTGATAGTCTGTGTACCTAGTGATAGTCTGTGTACCTTGTGATAGTGATAGTCTGTGTACCTAGTGATAGTCTGTGCACCTTGTGATAGTCTGTGTACCTTGTGATAGTGATAGTCTGTGTACCTAGTGATAGTTTGTGTATCTTGTGATAGTCTGTGTACCTTGTGATAGTCTGTGTACCTTGTGATAGTCTGCGTACCTTGTTATAGTCTGTGTATCTTGTGATAGTCTGTGTACCTAGTGATAGTCTGTGTACCTTGTGATAGTGATAGTCTGTGTACCTAGTGATAGTCTGTGCACCTTGTGATAGTCTGTGTACCTTGTGATAGTCAGTGTACCTTGTGATAGTCTGTGTACCTTGTGATAGTCTGTGTATCTTGTGATAGTCTGTGTACCTTGTTATAGTTTGTGTATCTTGTGATAGTCTGTGTACCTTGTGATAGTGATAGTCTGTGTACCTAGTGATAGTCTGTGTACCTTGTGATAGTCTGTGTATCTTGTGATAGTCTGTGTACCTTGTGAAAGTGATAGTCTGTGTACCTAGTGATAGTCTGTGCACCTTGTGATAGTCTGTGTACCTTGTGATAGTCTGTGTACCTTGTGATAGTCTGCGTACCTTGTGATAGTCAGTGTACCTTGTGATAGTCTGTGTACCTAGTGATAGTCTGTGCACCTTGTGATAGTCTGTGTACCTAGTGATAGTCTGTGTACCTTGTGACAGTCTGTGTACCTTGTGACAGTCTGTGTACCTTGTGATAGTCAGGGTACCTTGTGATAGTCTGTGTACCTAGTGATAGTCTGTGCACCTTGTGATAGTCTGTGTACCTTGTGATAGTCTGTATACCTTGTGACAGTCTGTGTACCTTGTGATAGTCTGTGTACCTTGTGATAGTCTGTGTACCTTGTGATAGTCTGTGTACCTTGTGATAGTCTGTGTACCTAGTGATAGTCTGTGTACCTTGTGATAGTCTGTGTACCTTGTGATAGTCTGTAGTCTGTGTACCTTGTGATAGTGATAGTCTGTGTACCTAGTGATAGTCTGTGCACCTTGTGATAGTCTGTGTACCTTGTGATAGTCTGTGTACCTTGTGATAGTCTGTGTACCTTGTGATAGTCTGTGTACCTTGTGATAGTCTGTGTACCTAGTGATAGTCTGTGTACCTTGTGATAGTCTGTGTACCTTGTGATAGTCTGTGAACCTTGTGATAGTCTGTGTACCTAGTGATAGTCTGTGTACCTTGTGATAGTCTGTGTACCTTGTGATAGTCTGTGTACCTTGTGATAGTGATAGTCTGTGTACCTTGTTATAGTCTGTGTATCTTGTGATAGTCTGTGTACCTTGTGATAGTGATAGTCTGTCTACCTAGTGATAGTCTGTGTACCTTGTGATAGTCTGTGTATCTTGTGATAGTCTGTGTACCTTGTGATAGTGATAGTCTGTGTACCTAGTGATAGTCTGTGTACCTTGTGATAGTATGTGTACCTTGTGATAGTCTGTGTACCTTGTGATAGTCTGTGTACCTTGTGATAGTCTGTGTACCTTGTGATAGTCTGTGTACCTTGTGATAGTCTGTGTACCTAGTGATAGTGATAGTCAGTGTACCTTGTGATAGTCTGTGTACCTTGTGAAAGTCTGTGTACCTTGTGATAGTCTGTGTACCTTGTGATAGTCTGTGTACCTAGTGATAGTCTGTGTACCCTGGATAGTTTGTGTACCTTGTGATAGTCTGTGTACCTTGTGATAGTCTGTGTACCTAGTGATAGTCTGTGTACCTAGTGATAGTCTGTGTACCTTGTGATAGTCTGTGTACCTTGTGATAGTCTGTGTACCTAGTGATAGTTTGTGTACCTTGTGATAGTCTGTGCACCTTGTGATAGTCAGTGTACCTTGTGATAGTCTGTGTACCTAGTGATAGTGATAGTCTGTGTACCTTGTGATAGTCTGTGCACCTAGTGATAGTCTGTGTACCTTGTGATAGTCTGTGCACCTTGTGATAGTCTGTGTACCTTGTGATAGTCTGTGCACCTTGTGATAGTCTGTGTACCTTGTGATAGTCTGTGTACCTAGTGATAGTCTGTGCACCTTGTGATAGTCTGTGTACCTTGTGATAGTCTGTGTACCTTGTGATAGTCTGTGTACCTAGTGATAGTCTGTGTACCGCGTGATAGAGATAGTCTGTGTACCGCGTGATAGTCTGTGTACCTTGTGATAGTCTGTGCACCTTGTGATAGTCTGTGCACCTTGTGATAGTCTATGTACCTTGTGATAGTCTGTGTACCTTGTGATAGTCTGTGCACCTTGTGATAGTCTGTGTACCTTGTGATAGTCTGTGTACCTTGTGATAGTCTGTGTACCTTGTGATAGTCTGTGTACCTAGTGATAGTCTGTGTACCGCGTGATAGAGATAGTCTGTGTACCTTGTGATAGTCTGTGTACCTAGTAATAGTCTGTGTACCTGGTGATAGTCTGTGTACCTTGTGATAGTCTGTGTACCTGGTGATAGTGATAGTCTGTGTACCTCGTGATAGTCTGTGTACCTTGTGATAGTCTGTGTACCTTGTGATAGTCTGTGTACCGCGTGATAGAGAGAGTCTGTGTACCGCGTGATAGTCTGTGTACCTAGTGATAGTCTGTGTACCTAGTGATAGTCTGTGTACCTAGTGATAGTCTGTGTACCTAGTGATAGTCTGTGTACCTTGTGATAGTCTGTGTACCTGGTGATAGTCTGTGTACCTAGTGATAGTCTGTGTACCTGGCGATAGTGATAGTCTGTGTACCTCGTGATAGTCTGTGTACCTTGTGATAGTCTGTGTACCTTGTGATAGTCTGTGTACCTTGTGATAGTCTGTGTACCTTGTGATAGTGATAGTCTGTGTACCTTGTGATAGTCTGTGTACCTTGTGATAGTCTGTGTACCTAGTGATAGTCTGTGTACCTAGTGATAGTCTGTGTACCTAGTGATAGTCTGTGTACCTTGTGATAGTCTGTGTACCTGGTGATAGTCTGTGTACCTAGTGATAGTCTGTGTACCTGGCGATAGTGATAGTCTGTGTACCTCGTGATAGTCTGTGTTCCGCATGATAGTCTGTGTACCTACCGTCCTGGGCGACTTTGTCTATGGGCTGCTGGAGTTCGTGGGCCATGTAGCCGATGATGGAGAAGATGACGAGGCCGGCAAAGACACTGGTCAGACAGTCCAGCACAGACACAAGGATAGCATCCCTGTAGGCAAACTCAAACTGTATTCAAGACACTGGTCAGACAGTCCAGCACAGACACAAGGATAGCATCCCTGTAGGCAAACTCAAACTGTATTCAACACATCCCCAACACATGGTTAGAACTTACCACTAGCCCGCTAACTCTGACGGTAGAACTTACCACTAGCCCGCTAACTCTGACGGTAGAACTTACCACTAGCCCGCTAACTCTGACTGTAGAACTTACCACTAGCCCGCTAACTCTGACTGTAGAACTTACCACTAGCCCGCTAACTCTGACGGTAGAACTTACCACTAGCCCGCTAACTCTGACTGTAGAACTTACCACTAGCCCGCTAACTCTGACGGTAGAACTTACCACTAGCCCGCTAACTCTGACGGTAGAACTTACCACTAGCCCGCTAACTCTGACGGTAGAACTTACCACTAGCCCACTAACTCTGACGGTAGAACTTACCACTAGCCCACTAACTCTGACGGCTTGTTTCCAAAATTCCCTGTGTTCAACACATCCCCATTCCCAAAATGGTTGTTAAACTTGTTTGTTTATTTGTCGTTTAATGCCGCACTCAGCAATATTCCAGCTATATGACGGTGGTCTGTAAATAATCAAGTCTAGACCAGACAATCTAGTGATTGACATCATGAGCATCGATCCACACAATTGGCATACGATGACATGCATCAACCAAGTCAGCGGGCCTGACCTCCCGATCCCATAAGTCGCCTCTTACAAAAAGCAGTCCCCTTTTATGGCAAGCATGGGTTGCTGAAGACCTATTCTACCCCTGATCTTCATGGGTCTGTTAAACTTGTAGCAACACTTACAGAAGGCAGTTGTTAAACTTGTAGCAACATTTACAGAAGGCAGTTGTTAAACTTGAAGCAACACTTACAGAAGGCAGTTGTTAAACTTGTAGCAACACTTACAGAAGGCAGTTGTTGTTGTTAAACTTGAAGCAACATTTACAGAAGGCAGTTGTTAAACTTGTAGCAACACTTACAGAAGGCAGTTGTTGTTAAACTTGAAGCAACACTTACAGAAGGCAGTTGTTGTTAAACTTGTAGCAACACTTACAGAAGGCAGTTGTTGTTAAACTTGTAGCAACACTTACAGAAGGCAGTTGTTGTTAAACTTGTAGCAACACTTGCAGAAGGCAGTTGTTGTTAAACTTGAAGCAACACTTGCAGAAGGCAGTTGTTGTTAAACTTGTAGCAACACTTACAGAAGGCAGTTGTTGTTAAACTTGTTGTAGCAACACTTACAGAAGGCAGTTGTTGTTAAACTTGAAGCAACACTTACAGAAGGCAGTTGTTGTTAAACTTGTAGCAACACTTACAGAAGGCAGTTGTTGTTAAACTTGTAGCAACACTTACAGAAGGCAGTTGTTGTTAAACTTGTAGCAACACTTACAGAAGGCAGTTGTTGTTAAACTTGTTGTAGCAACACTTACAGAAGGCAGTTGTTGTTAAACTTGAAGCAACACTTACAGAAGGCAGTTGTTGTTAAACTTGTAGCAACACTTACAGAAGGCAGTTGTTGTTACACTTGTAGCAACACTTACAGAAGGCAGTTGTTGTTAAACTTGTTGTAGCTGGCCAGCGTGATGAGTCCGCCCCAGCAGGGAGACAGTGAGAAGAAGATCTGGACAGCAGCGTCCCCCCACACCTGTATCAGGGATATAACACTGTCAGATATATAACACTGTGTCAGATATATAATACTGTATCAGGGATATAACACTGTCAGGGATATAACACTGTATCAGGGATATAACACTGTCAGATATATAACACTGTGTCAGGGATATAACACTGTCAGGGATATAACACTGTGTCAGGGATATAACACTGTCAGATATATAACACTGTATCAGGGATATAACACTGTCAGGGATATAACACTGTGTCAGGGATATAACACTGTCAGATATATAACACTGTGTCAGGGATATAACACTGTCAGATATATAACACTGTGTCAAGGATATAACACTGTCTTTGTCAGATATATAACACTGTGTCAGGGATATAACACTGTCTTTGTCAGATATATAACACTGTGTCAGGGATATAACACTGTCAGGGATATAACACTGTCAGATATATAACACTGTGTCAGGGACATAACACTGTCAGGGATAAAACACCCTCAGATATATAACACTGTGTCAGGGATATACCACCGTCAGATATATAACACTGTGTCAGATATATAACAATGTCAGGGATATAACACTGTCAGATATATAACACTTTGTCAGGGACATAATACTGTATCAGGGATATAACACTGTCAGGGATATAACACCGTCAGGGATATAACACCGTCAGATATATAACACTGTCAGGGATATAACACTGTGTCAGGGACATAACACTGTCAGGGATATAAAACTGTCCGATATATAACAATGTGTCAGGGACCTAATACTGTATCAGGGATATAACACTGTTAGGGATATAACACCGTCAGATATATAACACTGTCAGGGATATAAACACTGTCAGATATAAAACACTGTGTCAGGGATATAACACCATCAGATATATAACATTGTGTCAGGGAATAACAGTGTCAAATATATAACGCTGTGTCAGGGATATAATACTAGCAGATATATAATGCTGTGTCAGGTGTATAACACTTTATCGTACCTCTATGTCAGAACGATGAGATATATGAACACTGACAATATCTACTATATCCCCCACCTTGGCACTCTTGAGGAGCTCCCACTTGGGCGTGATGTAGTACAGGATGCCATCTGCGGACCCCTCGAGAGTCACACCTCGGATCAGCAGGATCAGTAGCACCACGTATGGGAAGAACGCCGTGAAGTACACCGCCTGAAACATTACATTGCCAGGTAACAGAAGAACGCCGTGAAGTACACCGCCTGAAACATTACATTGCCAGGTAACGGAAGAACGCTTTGAAGTACACCGCCTTAAACAATACATTTGCCAGGTGATAGAAGAACACTTTAAAGTACACCGCCTGAAACATTACATTGCCAGGTGATAGAAGAACGCTTTAAAGTACACCGTCTGAAACATTACATTGCCCGGTAACGGAAGAACGCTTTGAGGTACACAGCCTGAAACATTACATTGCCAGGTAACGGAAGAACGCTTTGAAGTACACCGCCTGAAACATAACATTTGCCAGGTGATAGAAGAATGCTTTAAAGTACACCGCCTGAAACATTACATTGCCAGGTAACGGAAGAATGCTATGAAGTACACCGCCTGAAACATTACATTGCCAGGTAACGGAAGAATGCTATGAAGTACACCGCCTGAAACATTACATTGCCAGGTAACAGAAGAATGCTGTGAGGTACGCTGCCTGAAACATTACATTGCCAGGTAACAGAAGAACGCAGTGAAGTACACCGCCTGAAACATTACATTTAACAGGTGATAGAAGAACGCCTTAAAGTACACCGCCTGAATTATTACATTGCCAGGTAACAGAAGAACGCAGTGAAGTACACCGCTTAAACATTAAATTGCCAGGTAACAGAAGAATGCTGTGAGGTACGCTGCCTGAAACATTACATTGCCAGTTAACAGAAGAATGCCTTGAAGTACTCCGCCTGAAACATTACATTGTCAGGTAACAGAAGAACGCCTTGAAGTACACCGCCTGAAACATTACATTGCCAGGTAACAGAAGAACACCTTGAAGTACACTGTCTGAAACATTACATTGCCAGGTAATGGAAGAACGCCGTGAAGTACACCGCCTGAAACATTACATTGCCAGTTAACAGAAGAACGCCTTAAAGTACACTGCCTGAAACATTACATTGCTAGATAACAGAAGAACTCTGTGAAGTACACTGCCTGAAACATTACATTGCCAGGTAACAGAAGAACTCCTTAAAGTACACTGCCTGAAACATTACATTGCCAGGTAACGGAAGAACGCTGTGAAGTACACCCCCTGAAACTTTACATTGCCAGGTAACAGAAGAACGTTGTGACGTACACCGCCAGAAACATTACATTGCCAGGAAACAGAAGAACGCCGTGAAGTACACGGTCTGAAACATTACATTGCCAGGTAACAGAAGAACGTTGTGACGTACACCCTGAAACATTACATTGCCAGGTAACGGAAGAACCAGCGATAGAAACTGGATTCCTTTAATCCCTTATACCCTGCATCAAAGTAAAAACCTGCACACTTCTTCCGAGTCAATGAAGTCATAGCACAAGTCAACCTCTGCTCAGCTGTTTTCTATCAATTTTGTGTTAATTATTTTACAATGTCTACTAAAACATGTCAGTAAGATACATTCGGTGCAGCAGGATCGCTCAGGGTCCATGGGGAATTATGCGTCCCTCTAACCCATGTGGTCCTGCTAGAACTGCTACAAACATTACATTGGCAGGTAACAGCAGGATCGCTCAGGGTCCATGGGGTATTATGCGTCCCTCTAACCAATGTGGTCCTGCTACAACTGCTACAAACATTACATTGCCAGGTAACAGCAGGATCGCTCAGGGTCCATGGGGTATTATGCGTCCCTCTAACCCATGTGGTCCTGCTGCAACTGCTACAAACATTACATTGCCAGGTAACAGCAGGATCACTCAGGGTCCATGGGGTATTATGCGTCCCTCTAACCCATGTGGTCCTGCTACAACTGCTACAAACATTACATTGCCAGGTAACAGCAGGATCACTCAGGGTCCATGGGGTATTATGCGTCCCTCTAACCCATGTGGTCCTGCTACAACTGCTACAAACATTACATTGCCAGGTAACAGCAGGATCACTCAGGGTCCATGGGGTATAATGCGTCCCTCTAACCCATGTGGTCCTGCTGCAACTGCTACAAACATTACATTGCCAGGTAACAGCAGGATCACTCAGGGTCCATGGGGTATTATGCGTCCCTCTAACCCATGTGGTCCTGCTAGAACTCATCATGTTCAGGGCCACAGGGCCGGGATCATTCATACCAGATTTTGCCATAAATAAGATGAGCATTTATTCACTGGTGCAAAGATTAATATTAATTACTTAATGGTTTTATTTATTTGCATGTCAAACTATATTAATCAATAAGCAGAGACCATGTGCTGATGTGCCCCAAATTTCTCAAATGGGGTTTTAGAGTAATGCCATCATTTCCTGTGCCACGTGTTGCCATGGTTACAGCTCAGATGCTCTCACCTTGCCGGAGGTCTTGATTCCCTTGGCCAGGCAGATACAGACCAGCACCCAGGCAAGTAGCAGACAGAGGGCCAGTTGCCACCGCACCTTCCCCATCTCATAGACGCCCCCGCTGATGTCCAGCACCTCATTACTGCAACACAAACACCCATGTACCCGCTGTCTGGTGTCACCACACCCTCCCCATCTCATGGACGCTGATGTCCAGCACCTCATTACTGCAACACAAACACCCATGTACCCGCTGTCTAGTGTCACCACACCCTCCCCATCTCATAGACGCTGATGTCCAGCACCTCATTACTGCAACACAAACACCCATGTACCTGCTGTCTAGTGTCACCGCACCTTCCCCATCTCAAGGACGCCCCCGCTGATGTACAGCACCTCATTACTGCAACACAAACACCCATAAACCCGCTGTCTAGTGTCACCACACCGTCCCCATCTCATGGACGCTGATGTCCAGCACCTCATTACTGCAACACAAACACCCATGTACCCGCTGTCTAGTGTCACCACACCCTGCCCATCTCATGGACGCTGATGTCCAGCACCTCATTACTGCAACACAAACACCCATGAACCCGCTGTCTAGTGTCACCACACCCTCCCCATCTCATGGACGCCCCCGCTGATGTCCAGCACCTCATTACTGCAACACAAACACCCATGTACCTGCTGTCTAGTGTCACCACACCTTCCCCATCTCATGGACGCCCACGCTGATGTCCAGCACCTCATTACTGCAACACAAACACCCATGTACCCGCTGTCTAGTGTCACCACATCCTCCCCATCTTATGGACGCTGATGTCCAGCACCTCATTACTGCAACACAAACACCCATGTACCCGCTGTCTAGTGTCACCACACCCTCCCCATCTCATGGACGCTGATGTCCAGCACCTCATTACTGCAACACAAACACCCATGTACCTGCTGTCTGGTGTCACCACACCCTGCCCATCTCATAGACGCCCCCGCTGATGTCCAGCACCTCATTACTGCAACACAAACACCCATGTACCCGCTGTCTGGTGTCACCACACCCTCCCCATCTCATGGACGCTGATGTCCAGCACCTCATTACTGCAACACAAACACCCATGTACCCGCTGTCTGGTGTCACCACACCCTCCCCATCTCATGGACGCTGATGTCCAGCACCTCATTACTGCAACACAAACACCCATGTACCCACTGTCTAGTGTCACCACACCCTGCCCATCTCATGGACGCCCCCGCTGATGTCCAGCACCTCATTACTGCGACACAAACACCCATGTACCCGCTGTCTGGTGTCACCACACCCTGCCCATCTCATAGACGCCCCCGCTGATGTCCAGCACCTCATTACTGCAACACAAACACCCATGTACCCGCTGTCTGGTGTCACCACACCCTCCCCATCTCATGGACGCTGATGTCCAGCACCTCATTACTGCAACACAAACACCCATGTACCCGCTGTCTGGTGTCACCACACCCTCCCCATCTCATGGACGCTGATGTCCAGCACCTCATTACTGCAACACAAACACCCATGTACCTGCTGTCTAGTGTCACCACACCCTCCCCATCTCATGGACCCCCCCGCTGATGTCCAGCACCTCATTACTGCAACAGAAACACCCATGTACCCGCTGTCTGGTGTCACCACACCCTCCCCATCTCATGGACGCTGATGTCCAGCACCTCATTACTGCAACACAAACACCCATTTACCCACTGTCTAGTGTCACCACACCCTCCCCATCTCATGGACCCCCCCGCTGATGTCCAGCACCTCATTACAGCAACACAAACACCCTTGTACCTGCTGTCTGGTGTCACCACACCCTCCCTGATACAGAGTGATGTTTGTATTCACAGGTGAAGGAGGTACACAGAGTGAAGCAGTGGGAATAACTGATGACGTCCGAATACTTACTGGAAGTATTCATCACTGGGAGACTTGTTGTCTAGCAGCTTGGTGTGGTTGGTGATGTTGATGATGTTGTTGTACATCTGCTGGCCGACCCCCTGAACCGTGTAGCACGTGGAGTTGTACCAAGTCCCGTTCTGAGTTGTACAGTTGGTGATCATGCTACGACTCTCGAAGCACACTGGAAACAAACACCCCATCCAGCTCACTTGACCAAAAACAAACACCCCATCCAGCTTACTTGACCAAAAACAAACACCCCATCCAGCTCACTTGACCAAAAACAAACACCCCATCCAGCTTACTTGACCAAAAACAAACACCCCATCCAGCTTACTTGACCAAAAACAAACACCCCATCCAGCTCACTTGACCAAAAACAAACACCCCATCCAGCTTACTTGACCAAAAACAAACATCCCATCCAGCTTACTTGACCAAAAACAAACACCCCATCCAGCTTACTTGACCAAAAACAAACACCCCATCCAGCTCACTTGACCAAAAACAAACACCCCATCCAGCTTACTTGACCAAAAACAAACACCCCATCCAGCTTACTTGACCAAAAACAAACACCCCATCCAGCTTACTTGACCAAAAACAAACACCCCATCAAGCTTACTTGACCAAAAACAAACACCCCATCAAGCTTACTTGACCAAAAACAAACACCCCATCCAGCTTACTTGACCAAAAACAAACACCCCATCCAGCTCACAAAACTCATGAGGACTTAAGCATCCATACTAGGGGACATGAGGACTTGTATCAACTCACGTGGAGAGCTCTAATCACCGCAGTAACTCAACCAAAGTAAAGCCACAATACCAGCTGGGGACATGAGGACTTGTATCAACTCACGTGGAGAGCTCTAATCACCGCAGTAGCTCAACCAAAGTAAAGCCACAATACCAGGGGACATGAGGACTTGTATCAACTCACGTGGCGAGCTCTAATCTCCGCAGTAACTCAACCAAAGTAAAGCCACAATACCAGGGGATATGGGGACTTGTATCAACTCACGTGGCGAGCTCTAATCTCCGCAGTAACTCAACCAAAGTAAAGCCACAATACTAGGGGATATGGGGACTTGTATCAACTCACATGGAGAGCTCCAATCACCGCAGTAGCTCAACCAAAGTAAAGCTACAATACCAGGAGACATGAGGACTTGTATCAACTCACGTGGCGAGCTCTAATCTCCGCAGTAACTCAACCAAAGTAAAGCCACAATACTAGGGGATATGGGGATTTGTATCAACTCACGTGGAGAGCTCCAATCACCGCAGTAGCTCCAGGGAAGTTCAGCAGCAAATGAAGCAAACAGATAGTAGAGCGTCCAAGCGATGATCATGTTGTAATACATGGCGATCAGAACTGACACTATGAACATCGCCCAACCGACACCTGGAAACAAAGGATATATACAGAATAAACATGTAGTAAACAAAGAGTAAACAAAGAGTAAACAAAGAGTAAACAGTTAACAAAGTAGAAAGGTCACATGACTCAGCTTTCAAACCGCCTTGTAACAACACCACAGAACTGGAACAATAATTCATAAATTCCATTCGTCTAAAGTGTGTTTCTGAAGAAGTCATTGAAAGCTAACGCAACCATGATACAATTCGGCACGTGACTAAGACAACCCGATAAATTCAAATATATGTTTAGTTGTCAAAATAACACATCCATGCCAGAGAATAATCAGTGTCGCTAGAAGAATAATCAGTAGTGTTCACACGATCATTCTGTATTTATAACACCAGACAAGTACAATGGATAAGTGTCGCTAGAATAACAATCAGTAGTGTTCACACGATCATTCTGTATTTATAACACCAGACAAGTACAATGGATAAGTGTCGCTAGAAGAATAATCAATAGTGTTCACACGATCATTCTGTATTTATTACACTAGACAAGTACAATGGATAAGTGTCGCTAGAAGAATAATCAATAGTGTTCACACGATCATTCTGTATTTATTACACTAGACAAGTATAATGGATAAGTGTCGCTAGAAGAATAATCAGTAGTGTTCGCACGATCATTCTGTATTTATTACACTAGACAAGTACAATGGATAAGTGTCGCTAGAAGAATAATCAATAGTGTTCGCACGATCATTCTGTATTTATTACACCAGACAAGTACAATGGATAAGTGTCGCTAGAAGAATAATCAATAGTGTTCACACGATCATTCTGTATTTATTACACTAGACAAGTACAATGGATAAGTGTCGCTAGAAGAATAATCAATAGTGTTCGCACGATCATTCTGTATTTATTACACTAGACAAGTACAATGGATAAGTGTCGCTAGAAGAAGAATCAATAGTGTTCGCACGATCATTCTGTATTTATTACACTAGACAAGTACAATGGATAAGTGTCGCTAGAAGAATAATCAGTAGTGTTGGCACGATCATTCTGTATTTATTACACTAGACAAGTACAATGGATAAGTGTCGCTAGAAGAATAATCAGTAGTGTTCCCACGATCATTCTGTATTTATTACACTAGACAAGTACAATGGATAAGTGTCGCTAGAAGAATAATCAATAGTGTTCACACGATCATTCTGTATTTATTACACTAGACAAGTACAATGGATAAGAAGTATAGTAAAAGTGATAAAGTTGTTGTTGTTAACGCCGCACTTAGCAATATTCCAGCTTTATTACGGTGGTCTGTAAATAATCGAGTCTGGACCAGACAATCTAGTGATTGATATCAAGAGCATCGATCCAAGCAATTGGGATCGATGACATGCATCAACCAAGTCAGGTAGTCTGACCCCGTTAGTCACCTCTTACGACAAGCATAGTCGCCTTTTACGGCAAGCATGGGTTGCTGAAGACCTATTCTACCCGGATCTTCAAGGGAGGAGACAAGCATGGGTTGCTGAAGACCTATTCTACCCGGATCTTCACGGGTCAAGAAGAAGTATAGTACTTATAGTAGTCTCACTTCAGCATTATAAACTGGAGCTAGTCCTTACCAAACTGCCCAATAGTTAAGGCAGGGTTAGAACTTCACACTTGCCTGCTGGCACGGCGCTAGTACAAATTCCTTCAGGCATGTAAAAACTTCTCAATTTTCTCATTGTTTCAACATTACAAGGGCATTTGATCTACCCCTGGGCAAGTAAAGCTGTTGAGTTTAGTTTTAACTAAGGTATCATAAGGACTAGAATTCATTTGCCCTTTTTAAGGATTTTGCTTTTGTTATCATTTTAAGAACTGACCGCCTCCGTGGTCTTGTGGTAGAGTGTCCGCCCGGAGAGCGGAAGGTCCGGGGTTCGATCCCCAGCCGCATCATACCAAAAGACGTTAAAAGATGGTACTTGTTGTTACCCTGTCTGGCGCTCGGCATTAAGGGGCTAAAACAAGGACTGGTCGGCTCGGAGTCAGTATACTGTGTCTGAGTGGGGTATTCATGTTAAACTGCGGCATGGTATCTCAGTGAGCTAGCCCTATAAATCGGCATCAGTCCGTACTAGTACAAGCAGCCACACAAACACACACACGTACATGCATGTTGCTATATAAGTGCAATAATCTTGGACGCGACGTTAAACCCAATTTCACCTCACCTCACATTTTAAGAACTTGTGGACCCAAACTGTTACCATGTCACCATATCTAACCTGGCAATGTTGATTGGTTACTTTTACTCAATTTCCAGAGTTAACCACTATGTATTTTATTGTTGAACAATGATTGTAACTGTATTACACTGTGTCTGTTGAGATTCGGTAGAAGCTCATTGCATTGTGTTTGGACAGTGATTAGTTGTCAGGAATGTAGTACTGTTTAAAGGGGCACTGATCTAAAGCAGTTCCCCGGGACTGGTTGTTGCCTTTGTTATTGTTTTTCCCCGTGAGTACCCGGATCAAATAGCAGAAACCTGTGCTGCACAATTCTTAAGCGCATTTGTCACTCTTATTGATGGTATAAGGGCATATGGTCACATTGATCAACAAAATGAAATACAGTTTTGGAAAAAAGGAAATGTAGGTATCTTTGTGGGTAGCATCTTTAATGGTTACAGTGTTTTGATAAGTCACTTGCTTGGTAATTGTGCCATTTTCGTTTACACTATTTTGACATGCAACACACAGTAGATATTTCACCTGCACATTGCTTATTTTATCGTGTTTATATTTTTACAGTCAAAATGTGCAAAATCTTTACTTAGGAAATTTATTAAACGCCTAATTATTCAGTTATTTTACGAATTGACTGAAAAATATGTCCATCTGTATTATTATGATGGCAAATTCCAAGCATTTTATGATTTATATCATCACCAAGTGACTGAAAGTGTTAGGATTAAAAGTACATCTCCATATTGTTTGTCTTCTAATCCTAGCATAATTGATCTATGGTGATGTTTTTAAGCCCTTTTGACCGTCTTAATTATTTTTAGTCAAGCTTTTAAATAAATGGACAGATTTTTCAGTCAATTTGTAAAATGACTGAAATATTTAGACATTTCATAAATTGCCTGAGTGAATCACATTTTACGCCTACAAAGGAAAAGACTTGTGAAAACAACATCTATCTTGCATCAAAGAACTTCCCAGCCAAGAGGAACAAGAACGATTATGTTTAATGCTACAGCAAATGAAGGAAAACAAAACAAATATAATAATGTATAAATTACAACCTTCCAAAGTTATATGTATAATTTTAGGCAGCTTCCGTGCAAGAGGAATGTATCTGTGAATATCCCCATAAAGGAACAATATCCCACACGTCTGCAGCTGTACAAAGAAACTTATTCGATGTCAGGTGTCTCTCTAACAATCATATATTTCAAAATATATACTCAACAACAAAAGTTCCTGTGACACCAATATTTTAGTGTATTTTTCAAACAAATAAAGTTTGGTTTTCAATATTGTAGTACATGTATGGAATCAAGTCACAAACACACAACTGCTACAGAAAAGCATGCATTCCATGCAAAAGTTGACTTTTATGCAAGCCCCATGTATCTCACTACCCAAGAATGGGGAGAAAAACATGTGCATTATTGGGATTCCATATGCATTGTTTAGCATCGCGCTGACAACAACCACTCAGAAAAACAACAAAATTACGCAATTATTCAACATTACTAAATGCCACGCCTGTCTGAAAATGAGCGTCTGCGAGCCATTGGTATGCTTGAAGCAGGATCGAGTCAACGTGATGTTGCAAGACAATTTAACGTCCACAGAAACACCATTTGGTGTTTATGGCAACGTTGGCAACAGACGAATGCAGTCAGAGACCATCCTCGGAGTGGCAGGCCACGCGTAACCAATAATCGACAAGACAACTGGATTCGAACAACACACCTACGAAATCGATTCCAGCCAGCAACAGTGACTGCAAGAAGCATCCCTTGCCTGCGACAAATATCTTCACAAACCGTACGTTGTCGCCTCAGATGTGCAGGGATTGTCGTCAGAAGACCAGCCAGACGTCCCATTTTGACAGGTAACCACCCTCAAGCACGTCTACAGTGGTGCAGACAGCGTCTACGCTGGACAGCCATGCAGTGGGGACAAGTTCTATTCACTGACGAGTCTCGTTTTCACCTCAGCCACAGCGATGGACGGATTCGAGTGTACCGACGTTGAGGTGAACGTTAAGTCAATCATTGTGTCATGGAAGAAGATCGGTTCGGGGGCGGCAGCGTTATGGTATGGGGTGGGATTACAGCAAGACAGAGGACCTGTTTGATAGTGGTAGATGGAAATCTCAATGGACAGCGCTACCGCGACGAGATCATCGGCCCTGTTGTTCTAACGTTTTTTGCGTCATCATGGCCCAGGCATTACCTTTCAACATGACAACGTCCGGCCTCATATTGCTTGACTTGTTCAGGATTCTCTTCAACAAAACACAGGAATGTCATCTCCTGGCCGGCTCGCTCCCCTGATCTCTCACCAATCGAGCACAAGTGGGATGAGATGGATTGGCGCCTTCGATGTCAACCACGTGTTCCACAGACACTCCAGGAACATCGAAAACATGCTCCCAAGATTAGTGCCCCTTTAATGTAAGCAGTTTTGAGGAAGGTACTAAATCTAGATACTGGTGTGATATGTAAATTTCCGAAATATCTTGGACTGTGACTGAGTGTTACAACTTACAGAAACATGTAGAATTTTTCTGTGTTGTGATTGCACTTTGTGGCAATTTCCAGTAGCTAGTTAGACTGTATATATAAGGGGACAAGAGCGTGCCTCTCGTATCTCTCACACATTTCATTACATCAAGACCAGCTTTCATGTGAAGATCCCTCATCACCCTGGATTCCCTGCCAAGGCCTAACCCTAACCCCAGGTTCCCTGCCTAGGCCTAACCCTAACCCCGGGTTCCCTGCCTAGGCCTAACCCTAACCCC